CGCTGTTTTGTTAACTTGTAGCCGTCTCAATGGATGATCAAAGAAAAAGGAAAGGAAATTTCACCGACATTGAGATACAAAAGTTAATTGAGCTGTACAGTCAGCACAGACACACACTGACTGCCAAGCAATCAAACTCAATAACGAAGAAGAAGAAACAAACAACATGGAAACAGATAACGGAGGCGATTAACGATTGCTCTGACTCTGGCTGCTTTCAGAGAGCGATGTGAGGAAAAAGTGGAAAGACCTCCTGAGCAAAGCAAAAAAAGATTTGTCTTCAAAAAAACACCACCCGACCGGCGGGGGTCCTCCCCCAAAACCTCCGTGTACAGTACCATAATTGTGGATATCTTTGGAGAGGATTCCCCGGCTTTTATTGGTTTGGTCGGTGCGGAAAGTGGCGGTACCGATCTGGAAGAAACTGCTGTCTCTCAGAGATGGATGTCGACCACTCAAGCGAGAGTGTGAATTGTGAAGGTGTTAGCCTATATATTGGAGTAGCCTCCAATAACAGTTTTAGTAGTTGTCAGATAACAGTAGGCCTATGACAGATTCTCTGTATTTTCAGACTCGATGGAGGCCCAAGTCACTCCGCAAAATACTCATGAAGGCAGCAGCGGTGCACCGCCGATGAAACGGAGGAGGAGGCTGGAAGATCTGCAGCAGACACTTCTTGAAAAAGAAATTGTTAGAGTGGAGGCTGAAACAAAGAAATTACAGGCCGAGCAGGAAAAGCTGGAACTTGAAAAACAAATAATATCATTAGAAATACAGTTGCTCCAACAACAGATAAGCAGGTCATCTTCGCCTATTTCTGAAGAGGATGGGCGGTCTTTTGTAATTCTGTAAATAAGCCTAATGGCAAATTGTGTGCAATGAATCAATGACAATTATATGTAAATTAAAAAAAGAGTTTACTATAAACCTACTGGACTTTCTTTGTGGCTTATTTTTATGGCAGAATTATTTTAAGTGAAGCAATAGTTTATAACATTTATAAAGCATTAATAATACGTGTACGGACTAGTCGTCCACCGACATCTTCATGCCCTGCATGGTCCACAGGGTCGGCACCTTCCTCCGGCACCGGCTGATGGTGTTGCCTAGGGAGAGGGATCCTCTTGGTGACACAGATGTTGTGGAGGACAGTGCACGCTGCTATTACGGTGCAGACTTGCTCAGGGTGCATCCGCATCTCTCCATGAAGACAATGAAACCTAGAAAAAAGAATTAATGATTAGGCTACTGTGAAACCTAAATCTGTCACGTTTGCCGAGTTTTATATAGCCTAGGCCTAGTCTATTATATAGTCTTCAGTGATCTAGTGACCACACTATATCAGCACCATGGATAGCGGCACAGACACTGCGGAAAGAATTTTACCTGCGCTTGAGGACTCCGATGCACCGCTCAACGAGGGACCTAGTGGTGGTGTGGATGGTGTTATACCGTCGTTCTTGCTCAGTCCTCGGAGCAATTATAGGATTCATCATGCAGTGTTTCAGTGGGTATCCACTGTCACCGAGAAGCAGCCCATTTACTCTTCCAGCCTCGAAATCCTGGTATAACGCACTCTCTCGGAGGATGCGTGCGTCATGGGTAGATCCAGGCCATCTTGCCACCAAATTAAAGATGTTATAATTGGCGTCACAAGCAATCTGCACATTGATTGAATGGTATCCCTTGCGGTTGACATCAGATGGTGCTGGATCCGGATGTGAGTCCCATCGATGCAGCCCACAATACCAGGAATGTCAGAGGCCCGGAGGAATCTGTGTTTCATCACCGCACACTCGGCCTCAGTGGGGAGGTGAGCAGATCGTGGAAGGCGACGGCTCAGTGCCAGTGACACTCTGCGGATGGCCCGACATGCGGTGGATTTGTGGACATTAATCATGTCTCCAACAGTGTTTTGAAACGCACCATTTGCATAAAAACGTAGCGCTATTAACAGCTGTAATGCGGGTGTCAATGCTGCGTTGTGATCCGACACAAACTGTAAGTCGGGTGACAGCTCTTCAACAAGTTCATATATATCTCTCCGACAAAATCGAAACCTCTGAATCAGCTCCTCATCATTGTAAATGTCCAATGGATTGCTTCTGTCCCTAATAACTCTCTCCCATCTAAAAGCCCGCTCATTGTAAAGTCTGTGTATAAGGCGCGCCATGTCTTTACTGCTGAGTTATCAAGTGGTTACTATAAAACTTGCCTAGATTTTTACTTTACGCCTGCTACTGACTAGGCGTAAGATTTACGCCCGGTCTTAGCGAGAAGAGGACTTAAGCCTGGATGGTGCAACTGTCATAACTATTAGGTCGGACTTAGAATGCTGAGTTAAGACCTACTTACCTTAAGCCCAGGCGTAAGCCCTGTTGGTGCAACCGGCTCCAGATGTTTAAGAGTCCACATAGGATCTTCACTAAGTAACTCCTGAAATGGAGGAGCAGAGAAGTGTGTTCGACTGGTCTCAACTCTGGGTTTTCATAGATTTGGTCCACTAATAAACTTGGCCAGATTTCTAGAAATGAGAGCTGCTCCTGGGATGGATGCCGTCTCTCCGAATCAGACCAGGTCTTCCCCAGAAAGTCTGCCAAAGATCTACAAAGCCCACATCGTTTGCTGGACACCACCTCGACAACCAGCGGCGGAATGACGACATGCGGCTATACATGTCATCACTGGTCAGATTTGGCAGGGGTCAGGAGAAAACTACAGTGTCCGACATTGTTTTTGCATATGTACACACCGTCTCAACATTAATCTTAGTGACCTCCGATTGGCGTAACCAGGAGTCATTACCGCCGACGTGAATAACAATCTTACTATTTACGTTTATCCTTAGCCAGCAGTTTCAAAAGCTGGCTTCGCTAACTTCACGTTTCTCAAAATGGAGCTGCCAATGATCAGTTGGTTTCTCAGCTGGTGTGTCGCTGAGTGGGGAAAATCTGTTAGAAACGAGAAGAGGTTGGTGATTACCCGTGGGCTTTGAATGCTTACGACTATTCCTCCTTCAGACATTCACCCAGCCACCCCTTCCTGGCTGCTCAGGAGATCCCGGGGGACGGCTACCACAGGCTAACTCAGGCCGTTCCGCACCGACTACTGGGGACTGGCTAGCTACAGTAGCTAAAGACTTATTTACCAAGGTGCGGAGACGGACTTCTAAATCACTGAGCCTTGCCTCCATGTCTACAAATAAACTACACTTGTTACACGTACCATTACTGCTAAAGGAGGCAGAGGAGTAACTGAACATCACACAGAGCAGGAGAAAGTAGGAGAGCGAGAGGGAGAAGGAGAAGCCATCGCTAGCTGCTGAGCTAATGTCGCTAACGGCTGAGCTAAAGTACTGTAGCGTCAGCTACCAAAACTTTAGAACAACTATGAGATTGAACAGCAGTCACTAAAAGATGGAAAGAACTGTGAGTGCTTAGGCAAAATTATTGTAAGAATAAATGTTTAGTGGACAGTTGGCCGCAGTAATCGAACAAATTTAACTGGTATTTAGCGAGAGCAGCACAACACGCTGCCAACACACAAGCACCGGAAACGGATGAGTCAACACGCTTACCGCAGTACGTCAGCCGACATCTAAAGCAACATTTAATGTATTTAACTGTAACTTCAGTTAATGACCAGTAGAGTACTGTGATTAAGCAGTATGTTGCTTTAGATTTCATGTATTTAACTGTAACTTCATAGTCAATGACCAGTAGAGTACTGTGATTTAGCAGTATGTTGCTTTAGATTTCATGTATTTAACTGTAACTTCTAACTGTAACTTCACTGTAACTTCATAATTACCTACTTTATAAAACAATTGGCGCAATATACATACAATTGAATTTTAAAGACATCGTAACCTCCAGTTTAACATGAATCAATTCCTCGCTGTCTCTTCGATTTTGTGCCCGTCTCTGGATTAATGCCCCAAAACACCTATAAACACAAGGAAAGCCGTTTCATTCAGGTAGGATGATAAAGGTGGCATTTCCCAAACAGTCCCCCCCAGCTTTCAGTGGGTCACTGCTGTTGTATGACAGAGCTAAACTTATCTCTGTCTGGACAAGGTGACATTACTGTGGTTCAGATAAAAACCAGCCATTTAAAGAAACAGTAACTGAAAACCATTTTCATTACAAACACTTCAATCAACAAAGTGCAGGTGTGTGATTTACCTAGGCAGAGTAGCCTGAGCGGTACTAGCCTGTGCCATTGACAGAGAGGGGCATGTAATGCATGCACGGGGGCTATACGGGGTGAGGGTGCTTTCCCCCGATTGGGCAAATGCAAAGTGCAAACAATTCTGTCATTCTGTCATAGGTGCTGAGGCGTGGCCTTGTGAGGGAAAAACAATAATGGGCGGAGCATGGAGCATGTAAAAAATTGAACTAAAATTCAAACAAAATATTAACTTCAAATCTACAAAAGTACTCAGAACTGAACAAGGACAATTTTTAAAACGGCTTCCTCTCTGGTCTCCAGCACAGACACGTGTTGAGTCTATAATACAGCTCTCAGGGAGGCACGTTAGCAGTTGCCTGCTGTGGTCCTGGGCTGCTCACAAACACAAACACCCAAACATAACTACTTTCAACAAGCCCTCAAGCACAATAGTAACGTAGACATTTACCTTTAGATAAATTCCAGAGTGCATGAAGCACCTTCAGCATACTTCTAATTTAAATTGTAATAGCTGGCGAAAACGACAGCCAAACCACTGACGAAGTCCTGGTGAGGTCCTATGACCACTTGGCCCTCCGCAGACAGCATCCATGCACTGGGCTTCATTATGTCACCTGAAACAAATTCAAATATACTCACCATACTAGTGGAGAGCTGCTTCTGGAACGCGCTGTGGCACGTCTGTTGTCAGCACAAGCATTGACTAGACTACCTCAATATGGTGCAGGCTTTCCCTGTGTGGATTCAGAGTATGAATAAAATAATTTTTCTTTAAAGAGAAGTTATGAAAATATTTGTGAATGCTCTTAGTTAATGTTCTTAGAAAGAAAGAAAATCAGAATCAGCCATTTTCAGAAAACCATCCATCCATCTTCATCCGCTTATCTGGGGTCGAGTCGCGGGGGCAGCAGCTCCAGCAGGGGACCCCAAACTTCTCTTTCCCGAGCCACATTAACCAGCTCTGACTGGGGGATCCCGAGGTGTTCCCAGGCTAGTGTGGTGATATAATCTCTCCACCTAGTCCTGGATCTTCCCTGAGGCCTCCTCCCAGCTGGACGTGCCTGGAGGCGTCCTTACCAGATTTTAAATATTGACATTTTCATTTCAGGTACCTCAACATGTTCTCGACTCGCTGGAAAAGGAAGTAACTACTGGAGCTGAGATCAGACCACAACAGAGAGCTCACAATTCCACACATAGATGTGAAGATGTAAAACAAATTCACTGTTTACAATTTGATTTAGCCAGGAGGAGATTAAGAGCTGGAGGGATAATGTTTTTGAGGAAGTTAGGGATAAAGGACAAAAGTGTAGTTCTACCAGATGAGTGTGCACAGCAAAGAGACACTCGCTGGATCAGTACCAAAAAAGCATGACTTGATGGTGTGAAATGCATTAAAAAAAAATTAAGAAGACATCAACATTATCTTGGTGTGCTTGGTAGCATTACCATCCTTTCAATGTCAGTGGCTGTGGCACACACCTGCAAATATAGAATAAGAAAAGATTAAGACTCAACTGTTACCATATCTTGTACCCATAGATTTATCTTTTTTTTAGTCAGTACACATATTGTAAAACTTAGATTGTGATCATGTGTTATGTATGAAGTACTCAGTCCACTCACCAAGAACTTTAGCTATCACTATAAGGAACACCTGTAAACCTGCTTATTCATGCAATTATCCAATCAGCCAATCATGCGTTCAGGGTTTTTCCTGCAAAGAGATGTTTTTAGCAAGCGCCAAAGGAAAATCACCAGCGCCAAAATGATATGAATTGGGGGAAAAAAGCATTTCAAATCCCCTCCGAACGTGTTTTAATAGCCATTTATCAAACAAGCAGAACATAAACTTAAATACGACGTCTTGTCTTCCAGCAGTCACCTCTCCTCACATTCACAGCCGCAGTATTTTACACATGCAGCTGGCGCTGGATTAATAAACCAGCTGCTGCGTTGGTTTGACTGCGCCTGAACGCTCCTCCATGAAGCTGTATTAACCGGTACTAGCACTTTCACATTTTACTCCGGCACCGGTTCTCTTCTCTGCCCTCTCCAGATTAGGTTTTCTGGGTGCTACGTGACGCTCGCCTGTTCACGTTCTCTCCTTCCTGCTAATCTCCGCAGGGAGATCAGGAGCCTTTCATGCGTGTTTAAAGTTGCTCGTCAAAGTCACTTCATGACCAATCACAGCCTGGAGCAGGCGGGACATTACAAAAAGGTTGAGGAACTACAGCAAACTTAAGAAATGTTGAACGTGTTGTTCTGTATGTCCGGTTATTATTACAGCATAAAAAAAAATGAGAGACTAACCACCATGAAGAGCATTTTTCTTGCACAGTAACTTAATGACTGAAAACAACCCACAAAATTAAACTGCTGTTTTGTCCAACTGGAATTAATATTATAGGAAAATATCAGAAAACGGTTTTGTGTAAAAAAGCTGAATCTCAACTAATAAACTATCTGTAGGAATACTATCCAAATAAAGTGTAAACTGTAAATATATAATTGTACTGACATTATACTTTCTATTTAATGTTATAATATTTATTAATACACTAATTTACACATTTACTCCTCCAGGTTGTGGATATATTTTGTTTATCAAATGGTCAGAAATAACAAGAAAATGCATAGATTACGGTCATAAGGTATCGCACTGCCTTTACTGTACGAGCACCGATCATGCTTAAGTTAATGTTACTGTCGAGCAAAGTCACCACCCAAAGGCCCATTATGAGCCAGGAAAAGCCCTGTGTGTTTTCCTTACAGTTGACAAGATAGGCAACGGCTGCTCTCTATCACACCCAGCACCAGAGAAAATTACGAAGGTTGTCAATCTTAAAATAGAAAGTGTGTGTAACTTAGCTAGAAAGATAACTTAAGTTACTTCACCGCCCTGTAACGTCAGTCTTGTCACCATGCTGTAAGGTAACGTTAGCTCACAAATACAAACATCGTCACACAAAAAATCAAATAACCCGAGTTCTTACAAACGTGTATCTTACAGCTACAAATCCCTAGTTCTTCAGACTGTCAAGCTAAGTTAATGCATTTTCAAAAACAAATATGAGTGCCGCTTGGTCTAACAGCAGCACTCACTCTAACTGCCCGCAGTGGAATTTTCCAGACAAGACCGTTGACTTGAAAACTAACTTCCATCAGACAATGGACATGCGCAGTTCATTTTACAGTTGACAAGAAAAGCAACGGTTGCTCTGTATCACATGCATACACCGCAGGGGAGAAAATTACAAGCTAACGTTACTAATTTGAGATTAAAGTTGTCAAACTTTATCTTTGCCCTTATCCATTACAATATTTTTCTCTGGTTGATAAGAACGGTCAATGTATTAAGGTCACAGCTTACCGTATAACGTTAACTTCATTGTCCAGTGGTCTTGTCAGCGTAAAAAAGCACTGCACCAAATGCTGTGGGGGAAAATATAGTGGGGAAAGACAGGCTCTTAGCACTAAGAAAAGCTAACGTTAACAGATAACTTAAAGGATACCTTAACACCTTTAGAAATATGAGGCTTGAAAACAACTCAGACGAAAAAGCATTTCTAACGTTACTAACTTAATAGAGTAAGTGTCTGTTAATTTCTTGTTTAAAAAATTGGGTGCTCAAACCTACCATGAGTAAAGTTAACATTAACCACTAACGTTAAGTTAACTAACTTTATGGCTGTATTCGAAACCGCCTACTGTACTAGTAGTATGTACTGATTTGGTCCAAATGTAGTATGTAGTATACAGTATGCTAGTGCTTCTCAAGGGGCGTTCTGAGGACGATGGGGGCGCTGGAGGCAATATTTTGGAAGGGGGGCGCTGAGCTGCTTTCGGGGGCGTTTGTTGGTTGGAAATTCTAAGGCGAGTTTACACTTAAGATTCACAACAATAAGAGTTTAAACTTAGTCAGTTGTGGGTAAATTTTTACAGATGATACTCTGACTTCTTTAAGTTTAACTTTAAAGTACTTGCAAAAAACTGTGGTCTGCCACATTAAAACCTGCCAGTTTAGTCCACTGCAACTGTACGAGACTTTTAACTAGGCCTATTTAAATTCGTATTTGAGCTGCAGGCAGCGCATATTTGCGCAGCACATCCTCTGGCTCGTCTCTCTCATCTGTCCCTCGATCTCCTTCCTTAACACAGCTGCACAAATCTGTCCAACACAACGCTGTCAATGTCGGAGACCCAGCTATTAAAAGTTAGTAGCAAGCATGTAAGGAGAGCTAAGTTAATGTTAGAATACAGCTGGGTTTTCGAGGCTAGCACGCTGTATCTGCGCCACAGTTACACTGTCATTCTTAGGAAACACTGAGTTATAAGTTATGAGCACATGAGCTAATAAAGTCCAGTCAATAACTGAATTAAAACAGATTCATTTATTACTGAGATGAAAAGGGGCCACAAACACATTTAAATAGGTTACTTCCCCACATAAGAGGAGGAAAGACTTAATCATGTGTGTTGACTCAGCAGGGATGATATTAAATAAGCTGATCTACAGGAGAAAAATATTTAAAGGCAATAAGAATGTCAGAGAACCTCACTAGATTATATTCTATTATAATAATATATTTTGAATTGTCACCTGCCACCTGAATTTTTAGACATTGCCACCATAAATTGGTGCAGAAAAGGCAGAAATTGGAGGAAAAATTTTCACCAGAATGCAGGAAATTAAGTGTTGATGCTCAAAATCTTCTGGGGGGGACCCCCATACCCCCCACTTATTAAGTGCCCCATCCAAGAGAACAGTATCTGGCTTCACACACAGTTTCTGGGAGGAAAATCCACTTATTAGTTAAATATAATTACTTTTCACATGGCTTTTTTGTTACATTTCCGTGTTTGTTTGTTTTTTAAAAAATCAACAATATTCAGGGCAAATTGCAAACATCTTTTTTGATGGGGGGGGTAAGGGACCTGGATAATAGATAGGGGGGAGCTGGCCCAAAAAAGGTTGAGAATCACAGCAGTATGCAAACAAAAGCAAAATCTGCAGTATGCCAAAAATACCCGGTTGGAGTACTGATTCGGGAAAAATATGCAGTATGCCAAAAATACCCGGTTGGCGTACTGATTCGGGAAAAATCTGCAGTATGCATCGGACCAGTCTACCTCGCGCACTGTGGCCCATAATGCAAAGCGCTAGACCTGTAACAACAACCCGTCTTTTCTTTAGGGGACAACAACAGAACTTGTTTTACAATTTCCATACGTGTTTCATCACTAATTCCACAGTTTTGAGGTGAGAAATCAACTGTGTAGATTTTAAATATCGGCATTTTTAGGGAAATTGTTGACGAATCGAGAATGTGCTCGAACGTTTTCGGGGTTGAGAAGCTCCGCAAATGCAGCGGGGGAAGCTAATGAGCCAGCCCGCGGGGTTAGCTAACGATCCGGCCAGTCAGCTCACGGAGCCCCCTGGTCCTCACGCCAGCTCACGGAGCTCACAGCCACACAGACCTCTGCAGCCAACGCAGCAGATGAGTCCAGCAACAACCTGAGAGGAAAGACCCGCAGCTGTGAGACAGTTTACATGTTCGTTCCGCTGTTATTCTGTCTTTACATTCTGAGTAATGTAGTAACGTTAAATAAAGACACATCTGGCTCTTGATGGACAGGCTTGTGTAACTTAGAAGCACTTTGATAAAAAAATAAACAACAATAGTGGAACGAAAGGGGACTGCTGTCCTTTATTATTATCATTATTCTAAATAGACATTACATTTTTAGTGTAATGTTACAGTTGTGGTTATAGTACATGATTTTATATAATTCTTATTTATGCACCAATATACCGAAGCAAACATCTGCTACAGCTCGGCTGCAGCCCTGTTACATACGATGTTTTTAAAAGAATACGTTTTAAGCGTAATTACTTTTATATTCCTCTCATTGTTCCGATTTTGAACACCGGAAACTAGCAAAGCCTGGTGTAGCATGCTGCAAAATAAATCTATTTAACATTTTCTTACTACATACTAAACCTCATACAGTTTGCAGTATACAGTTCATACTGCATACTGCTGTTGCCAGTAGTAGGCGGTTCTGCATACAGCCTGTCTTTGTAACTTATGTTAACTCCTCTACAAAAACATACAAAGCAACAGAACTTAGCTATTTGGTTAATACAGTTAAATAACATGCTCTGCTATATCAAACAGTCATTTCAAAGTCATTTAGTTGACAAAATGTGACATTTCAACACTTACAGTCACTTAACCGTCTATCGGGATGAGCGAGGCGAAAGCTCCGAATGACGCAGCTCGAAAAGTCTGAATTCACAGCAGTTTCCTGTAACAGCCCCGCCTGCATTCATTTCACAATAAAATTCTGAACACGGTATAATATTGTGAAATGTCACAGTAAAAGCGTGTGAAGTGATAATACTGTAATTTCTTGTGAAATATACAGTCCCATCCTGTGAAATAATTTGCAGTGTACCAAACTGCTCATAATATTCAGCCTCACATAAGAAAAATGAACCCCATTTATTTTAACGGCTGCGACAGGCTGATGCACCGAAATGAAAATTCTTGGTCGAAGCCGAAAGCCAATATAATGCTAGCTAACACGTGGATTTATAACTTTAATGGTTCTGATGTTTATTAGCTGACCTTAGTTAACTTAATAGCTTCATAATCTAGACAGCAACTTTTGTCTGCCTCAGAAGCAGTGTTACATTTGTAACACATTACTCCCAACTAGTAATGTGTTACAAAAGTAATGCAATTACAGTTACGTAGTGCTTTTTGCTGTAATGCAGTAACCTTCAATAGATGTCTATGAAGATTCTCAGTCATCCAGGTCATAGTTATCCAACGAAGGTTAAAGTCAAGGGCAACTGGACTTGGTTGAAGATACTGGAAGACGTTTCGTCCCTCATCCAAAGGACTTCTTCAGTTCTGACTGACTGGCAGGGAAACTTAGCTATTTAACCTCAGTGGGGTCGTTGGCCCGGGTCGTCGATACCCCTGTTGCTGGAATTTGATGGTTGAGAATGTAGGCAAGCCTGTGCATGCGTGAGGTCTTTATCAGAGTATAAATGCAATTATTATGATGCTGTCTGTATGCTAAAGAATAAGTGTAGACAGCCACGTATCTCCTCTGATGCACATGCAGCTTATTTTCACCTGGCAGAGATGAGGGTTCACTGTTACCGAGGTTCACCGCCTCTGCACAGATTCCCCACCCAACCGGTAGGAGTGCATCATACCTCACTGGTTTCCCACCCATTAAAGATGCACACATTTGTTAATATTTTAGATGTGTGGAGTCTGATTCCCCTTCACATACAGTGAGGAAAATGAGGAAAAACAAATAAATAGTTAAAAAAATCATACATTGTGATTTCTGGATTTTTTTTTTTAGATTATGTCTCTCACAGTGGACATGCACCTACGATGACAATTTCAGACCCCTCCATGATTTCTAAGTGGGAGAACTTGCAAAATAGCAGGGTGTTCAAATACTTATTTTCCTCACTGTATACTCACCTCTCTATATATACTTATCCTCTGCTCTGCACTCAGATGTTGGTCTTCTTCTCTCCTTTAGTCCTCCAGTCTTCAGCCTGCCAGCTACCCATGGACCCTGAAGATGTACAGACACGAGTAGTCAGGATGGCCCCAGTTGCTCTCGACTTGCAGCTTCACAAAGTTGAAGACACCTTTTTTTGGTGACTAGCTGGGACAGGACGAGGACTAAATGTCCACGCCCACCTTCAAAGGCCCAGCAGCGTCCTAGGACCAGGGGGGAGTGTACCTGAGGAAAGACAGAGAGAAACAGAGAGTTTAGGATGTATGTATAAAAAAGAATAGACAGTAAAACAATGTCAGCTATTATCATAGAGCCATCTGTCTTGTGTTTGTAGTTCCTAGCTGAATAACAGTCCTTGGGCTCACAGGTGGCCGCCAGATAGGCATCCCCAAAAACTATCTGTCCTGCCTCTTGTGTCTGGTACTTTTTTGAAGATAGCTGGAATAAAACACTGGCCCCTGCGCACAAAAACACACACAAAGAAAATAAGAAAGCAATCTATAAACTAAAAAGCAAGTGTGAATTACAATCTGACAAATGAAAATGGCAAAGATGATTTAGATGTTTTGATGTTAGACTCCAGAGCAAAGTTGGGCAAAGTGTCTGCTGCCGGAAGCAGGTAGTTCATCCTATTCTTTAACCTCAGCAGCTCGTCCTACAGCTGTCTGAGTTGTGTCGCCACGTCCTGTAAGGGAGAAGAGATTAGTTAAATAATGCTGCATGTTCAAAACTTTGCTGACATCAATGTGTGTTTCACATGTAGGTGAGAACATCTTCGGACTCTGATTGCTTTTAGGTGCACAGGAAGAATAAAAAGACGTTTCTATCTAAAGAGACAGTCAAGCCGCTTTCATGGGCCTAATTGTAGTCGTGTCAGTAGATGAGACTGGGGATGTTATTTAAAGTTATATCATTTATTTTCACTATAATTCCATCCGTAAAAAACACAATGACAGAATGTTTGACTATTTGGGATTCATACAATTGAAAAGCAAAAATCCTTTCAGATGGGCCCGCTGGGAAAAAATCTTGACGCGTGATCGGATCTACAGTTTGTGTCAGTTTCCTTGACATGAAAACGTTTGAGAACTGTTTTACTGTGAAGCTCGTTTTGTTGTATTGAGCTAAAAATGACACATGCACTCAATGCAAAAATACTGTCAGATTCAACCAATCTGAGAGCAGAGGAAAACACGACCAAAATCAAACATAATTTTAGAATTTTTATTTATTTATTTATTTAGGAATTGTTGATTTTATGATTTTTTTAATCTGAAATGTGGCAGGAAACCGGAGCAACCAGAGAAAACCCATGCCAACACGGGGAGTATAGAAACTCCATACAGCAAAGATCAAGGCTGGGAATTCACCCCTGATCTCTGCTGAGGCCACAGTGTTAAACACTGAGCTGCCGTGCGGTACTGAACGTTTCTCACAGCGGACATTTTGACTCAAGTGTAAATGGTAAATGATCTGAACTTGTATAGCACCTTTCTAGTCTTTACGACCGCTAAAAGCACTTTTACAATACATCACATTTACCACATTCACACACTGAGGCAGAGGCTAAGGTGCCATCTGCCATCAGAAACAGAACAGAACTGCTACTGTACGTCAAAATGCCCGCTGTGAGAAACTGTTGTCAGGCCAGGTCAGACTGGGACAGGTGAGATAACATTTGTTGACATACAACATGTGAGGTACGATATGCAGGCCGTTCTTAAAGCTTTTCCCACTGCTGAACAGAACCTGGCCACTGCGGACTTCTTTGGGGGGGGTTGAGGAAGGCATTTATATGGATTTTCAGATATTTCACAACAGCATCATCAAAAGATGTATTGTTTGATGCCATTGCAGCCTCCAGTATCTTTTTGGAGAGCCAAACTCCCGGTCAAGGTCTTTAATCACGGCTTTGTTGACTTTTGTCATGCAGTACTTGGTTTTTTCAGCAACAGGGCCAGTGATTTTGATCTCATCCGCTACCTTGTCTGACAGACGCTTGATGAGGGCTTTGATGTCTGCCATCTGCATGAACTGCAGATAGCAGACATCTGCAGGGGTCTTTGTGACAAGCCTCATGAGCAGGGCAGTGATGAGTTTGCTGGACATCCACTCTGACACTGACACTGCGGACAGATCCCCACTTTCAGTGTGTGACACCGGACTATTGTTAGGCACTCTGGTACAGGAGTAAGTGATTCCTCTGGGTTTAGAGGTTACTTCTTCAGGAGCTCCTGAAGTGGCCTCGACATTGCATTTGAGCAATTGCTGACTGTCAACACGAACCCTGACATTCAAGCTCTCACTATCAAAACCAGTGCAGACAGATGCAGATATTTCAGCATCATTAATAGATGATATTCTTGAAGTCTGCCTGTTGCTGGCTTCCGGGCACTCCAGCCTGATGATGGCATTTTCTGGTGGTGGGGTCAGCACTGTTGTGATTAGCTCTTTGATGTCAGTTAATGCACCTGCCACTTCCACATTGTGACTTTCTTTGTTTGATGGCTCCATCTCCATCCAGTGCAGCACCTGCTGCAAGAACTTTTCCACTGCGTCCTCTGTGATGGCATATGCCTTCGTCCTGACAGAGGCACAGGCACTCCTCACCCTTGGGACCGTGGGAATCTTATATGACTGGCCAGCCATCAGATTGTCGTATATTTTATCAGTCAGCTCTTTGGAAAACTTCCTGATCATGCCACTGGATTTGATGTCTTGCAGTGTTTTGTTGGATTGTGCTGCAGCTTTCTCTGGCAGGTTGAATTTATCAAACAAGCTGTCGACATCATTTTTGATGGTCTCAAAATCTAGTTGAGAAAACTGCTGCTCTCTCATGCTGATCAATTTGGAGTTGCTGGTTGGATCACTAGATGCACGTCTGGGCCTTGGAGAATAAGGAACACTTCCTGGTAAAATGCCATCAATGGCTTCTTCAAAGTCATCCTCTTCCACGGGTTTAGGCTGATAGGACATAGAATCTGGGTTGAGTCTCACAAGGAAATCTTTGCATTTTGTCTTCAGCTCCGTCATCATTTTGTCAAACTGTTCTTTAGCAAACTTGAAAAATCTGCGTTTGCGAACTGCTTGGTCGGCATTGGCGGCATCTTCTGAAGGTGCGGCCTGTGAGACAAGAAAGTCTCTCACCTTATGAAATATTAACTCCATATTAAAATGAGGTCTTGGTGAGCATCTTTTCTCACCGCCGTGAGACTGCAGGTCATCGATTATAGCTTTGACAATTTCAGATGCTACATTATGAGCTTCCAGAGAGGTGCTGGGAGACAGGACAGCATTCTCAGCCTCTTCTGTAACGTCTGGTGTCTTCTTGGACCATTTGGCAAGGATGTCAGTCACAGCTTCAATCACTGAGGGGATGGAGATCTCGGATTTTACGCTCTGAGGCAGTTCACATCTCTCTGGTTCCTCTATTTCCAGGATCTGTTCTGGAGATTCAGAGCTTTTGAGTGGAACATACTCAATGTCGTTTGTCTGCCAACACATTGCCAGGCACTGGGAGTTCAGCTTTCCTGAATATTTTCTCAGACATTCGGTTGCATGTAACACCATCTGATGAAGAGATGATATGTTGGAGATGACGCTAGGGAAAAAAAGGTCAGGCTCTGATGGCGGGCTGCTGAAGACCCAGGATACAACAGAGCTTACCTCCTGTGAAACTTCCCTCTTAATTAGACTTGTCAACTTTTCTGCACTCTCATATTTGTCCTGTGGGACTTGAAAAGCACTAGCAATGCTACCAGGGAGGGAGTCTCCGAGTTGAGTGTTGAAGTTCTCCAAAGCTGTACTCACAGCAGCCTGAGCTGCACTCCTGTGCACGTGCTGCTTAATCACTGGAATGATCTTTCTCAGGATGGCTATAGAGAGTGTCTGTATGATTTCAACAATCATATCAGCCAGTGTAGCTTGTGTGTCTGAGTCTAAAGTCCCTGCGGCTAACATGTTCCACTGTGCTGCAGAGATTCTTTCAAAATGTTTTGTTACAATGGGCAGAATAGCCTCTAGTGTGATAGTGTCGTCCATCTGGAATCCGGTTTGGTCCATTTAGGTACGTTCTGTACACAAAGCTCTGCTTTTCTTCCGTTTGTTTGAAACTTACTGTAAAGTGTTTAGCAATGTGTGGAACTTGTATCTTGCTTAATGTTTAATTTTTTCAGTAGTGTGTACCTCGCTGTGCTTTCTGACTGTGGTCTGGAAGTCACTTGTGAAGAGTGAAAACTGAATGTAGAATTTAGTGATATTCATATAGTCAGGACTGTATGACATCATGTGTGTTGAGTCACATCACAGCACTGCGTCACACATCAAAGGAATTTAAATTTAAACACAAAGTCGCGCATGCGCAGGCAGACACACTTACATGATCACAGAACCAGAATCATTCAGAACCCGATGACGCGTCATAGGCGATGGAACTGGAACACAAACTCGCGCGTGCAGCAGCGTCTGCGCACACAGGAACTGGAACACAAACTCGCGCGTGCAGCAGCATCTGCGCACACAGGAACTGGAACACAAACTCGCGCGTGCAGCAGCGTCTGCGCACACAGGAAATGATCGATCATGCATGAACCAGCCAATTAGCTGCAGGACTTTTTATTTCTGAGCAAATGTGTGGAAATAAATTCTCAAATCGAATGAAATATGTTCTCATACGATCACCGATTGTCATATGCCAAAATAAATAAAGTGTGAATGAAGGTATTTTCTTGTGTGGCCAATAAATTATGCCTCTCCTCTGCCAGCACTTCCTAACGTTAGAATGGTTACAGTATCATCATAATTTTGTTGAAGGTACAAAATGAAACAGGCAACCAATGCTGTCACGTTAGTATCAAAGCCATTAATGGATTAAATACTTTAAAATGCGCCTTTTTGACAGTCTGGACCACCTGAGAGCACGAGTTTACTGGTTCATGATTTCAGTAGAAACAAAGTCTATGTCCAGTTTAATTAAATTTATATTATTAAATGATGAGTGCTCCTGACAGTAGGGAAGAAGGTTCAAACTATTAATATAAGAAAATGAGGAGCCTGTTCCGTTGACTTGCAATGTGACTCAGGAACAGGACACTTTTTGTAAATAATGAATGCCCTTTACCAATAGTTTGCAACTTGTTATCCTAAGATTATTGGTCCTGTGCTGCTATTAGCTTTCACACTACAAGCTGTACACCAACAAGCCAGTAAGATACTGTAGATTATATAAATATAAATAGAATGGATGTGACTTAAGTTTATGTAATTTATGTCTTTGACCTATAATTATGAAGAAGTGTATCCTAAATCCCTAAAAATGAAACAGTGTCTGCTTGTTATCCCTATTTGCCCACAAATATTTATATGTGTACATTATTATTATTATACATAAAAGCAGTTCTGTCTTCATTTGTGTTGTTCAGTAGCTACATTTGTTTCATGAGACCTTAAATATTCTCAGAATATCATACAAAAGAAGATTAAAAAGGAATCCACTAATTCACTTGCTTTAGCTGAAATATAATGCCTCCATGAATATCACAGCGGAAAAAATCTTTTTCCCCCAACTATAACTCCAAGGCCAGAGTCTTGGTAACAGGCTGTATGTACCATCACTAAGGTAGAGTTCATTTTGCTTTTACATTAAACAAAATACTTTTTTCCCCTTTCACAGATGCTGTGATGAAGCACTTTTCAAATACCACAGTGTCTGCTGTGCAAGTCCTCATTCGCAGAAAATGCAACGAGTCCTACTCAAAGAAAACACACCCTCCCCTTGAAGAATAAAGATTGTGACATTCAGTTTCAGTGTTTGGTTCCACCATTTGAACTGTATGCTTGTGACGGAGTACCATCACTAAGGCTGAGTATGCGCTTGGACTGCCAGACCAATGAGCCTGGCTCTTTGGCGTTGCAGTCATAGTTGTATGTTTGGTACCCTGTAGACCTGTGTTTGAATCTGGGTGACTGCTCTCGCTCTTCGCTGCATATGATGTCAGAAGTGGGATGGCTTGCCGTGAGGTCATTGGAGGCGCGCTGATTGTGGGACGCACCCTATTTCCAGCATCCTCCAATAGAATAGAAAAAAATATTATTTAGTGTTTGCTTGAGCTATGAAAATGATTTTAATATTCATGATTTCAACACAACATAGACGGTTACACTGCAGAAAAATTAACATGCTGAAACATAGTGCTAATGCATAGAACCCATACAACCATCACCACACAATTAGGGACAACACCTAAAATAACATGAGACAATATCATCTTTTATTTTCAAAAAGTGTGCGTATGTGCAGCAAATTGGTGCCACAAGACAATTCTTATCATCGGCAAGTGTGCCTCCTGTTGTTGCGACACTTTAAAAGTTTTTGGCCTCCGATATATCTGTGAAAAGCTAATATCAGGCAGGCTCTCATTTTTAAGCTGTACAATGTTAGCTTACACATGTGGCCTCTATTGACTGCATGCACAGTGGTAGCAGTTAAGTTTAACCATGGGCAAGGGCCAGCCTGGCTCAGCGTTACATGTTATGAGGTCACAGTTATTGGGATTTACATGAGCCTTAATATTACACTGCTGTCTTTGGGAGTTTTATGACTAATCATGTAAACGTTTTAATGTAAACTATAAAAGTCAACATTTCAGCTTTCATCAAGAGGCCATTTTGCTGGGGGCCCCACCGGCCACTATTTGCCTACCACTTAGTAGAATCAATGTTGGCAAAGTAATCCTTTGTTAGCTACATACCTTGATTCAGGATATCTAATAGGAACTGCCATTGGAACCCTGAGTGGACCAACACACCACTGCTGAACTGCAAGCACTTCACTGAAACTGTTCCCCTCTGCTATTATTTGTGCAACAGGTGTTCAGTTTGTAGGCTCCCAGACAGTGGATTAGAAATTTGAAACCTCCAACAATCAAAAAGACTGCTCAGGTGAATTAATGACTGCTAAACAGCAGGCTGATGTTTCCAGCTTCAAACTAAGAATCTTTCACGTATCATGTCAAAATAGATGGCTATGTACGCATAATACAGAATACTGTTTTAACTGGATGTCCATACTATGCAGTCTGTAGTCCTCTACAACACAAAGCAATAGTTCAACACTGTGTGATGTATGCTTATTGCTTTCTTCATGAGAGTGAGCTATGAAGAGTACAATAGTACACAGCTGGAGTCAGGACATGGTTAGCCTAGCATAGCATAAAGACTGGAAGCAGGGGGAAACAGCTAGCATGGCTCTTTCCAAAGTGAAAAAATCCACCAGACCAAACACCGAACAGGCTAGCTCACATGTAAAAATGATCATTTGTAGTTTTATATCTGGTGCACACAAGAGGATTTTCAAATCTTAGAACACCACAAGTCATGTTTCCATCGTTTTTTAATGCGCATTGTAAAGTATCGCATTAGAAAACGTTGATGGAAACATTTCAAAAGTTTGCTTCAAATTCGCTTGACAATTAGATGGAAAAATAGCTACAGACATAATAATATTAATAAACTTCAAATTTTAATCACACACAAGACGATTCAGTCCAGATGCAGGACCACACACATGACGTTTTTACAATGGTTTCAGAGTGGCGTTTCCGGGGACTTTGGTTCTCAGTAGTGTGATCAAACGGGACTTCAGACAGAAACAAACATGGAGGCTGACTCTCGTCATTAAATACCTGCACTTATGTGAGCTGTGTTTTGCACAGAAAAACAAAAACAGAAGAAAACTGTGGATGAACTTGAAGCTGAGAAGTAGGAATCAGCAGGTAAACACATTTTATAGCGCGAGCAGATAGACAACACGCTAGTGACACTTCCCAAGCAGCTCGCTCTCATTGGCTGTTGATGGCTTCTGATCGGGCAACCTCTGTTGGTGACCTAAATTCTCACACTACAGGATCATTTGGGATTGGGAACACCCCCGTAATTGGACTCAAAATCGACCCAAAGATTCTCTGGTGTGCAGCCAGCATTAGATGATGTTAGGTCCTGAAACTATTTTATCCTTCCAGTCTTTGTGCTAAGCTAGGCTACTCACATCCTGGCTCCAGCTTCATACTTTATTTTATCATTTGAATTTTTCTTAGTTTGTTTCACAAATCAACATATCAACCTTACGTCCAAACCCCAAGCTTGAGAAACTCAAGCCTCATCAGTCCCAGTTAGGTCACTATCACAGTGCAATTTATTGACATATACATAAATAAATCCAATAATATTTTGTCTACCATTCATCAACAATCTAGTCCTAAGAAGCCTTTATCTGCTTGGCATTTGTAGACTTGGGTGGTATGATTTGAACCTGGAAGGGGATGAAGAACCGTAGCAGAGCTTTTGTGTCTTTCAAGTCCAGAGAATAATCCTGAGCAATCTTTTCCGGCGTCCATGTCTCAGGCTGACGCTGGTGGCTGCTCAGGGCCTTCAGGGCCTCAGCGATGGTCAGTTTGCCTTTGGGAACGTCTGTGAGCTCCACTAAGCCGTATGGGTCCCCTGGCAGACTGAACCTTAGTGGCCGCCGCTCCGCTTCTGTCCCCGCTGTCGCTTCCTTTGATGCCTGTGGAAGGATCAGGCAGAAGGAAATTAGTCTAAAATATTTAGAATATATACACCAGACCAATGAGGTTTCCCTGTGACCCACACTTTCTTTTAAAATAGTGTAATCACATTATACTGAAAAAACTATTGGCTAAAGTCACTGCAGATATTTGTGGCCTTAAGTGGTTTTTCTTCTAAATGTAAATGCTTTGTATTTGTGTGGCGCCTTTCTAGTCTTCCAACCACTCAAAGCGCTTTTACACTACATCACATTCACCCATTCATACAATAAGTCTAAGTGCTCAAACAGAACTGACATTCATTCATACACTGATAGAACAGCCATTAGGGGCAATTCAGCCGCCCCTTGTTGCACCATCAGACCTGGGGCCTGTACCATGGAACCAGTTCAACATACCAAGGATATCTTGGCTTCACTAATCCTAACAATCATGATCGGGATAAGCGGTACCACGAAGCTGGTTACCAACTCGGTAAGTCAACCAGGGGTTTACCAAATCCAGCCGTAAGCGCGTTCACATAAAAGAGGCAGAGTTAGCAGCAGATGACCAGTCACAAGTCTACTGGAATCAGAGCGTCATATTTTACAAACGAGACATAAAATCGCAGCCTAATGAAAATAATTGTCAAATACCCAACAAGTACATTCACATTTTTCATCCCCCCCCCCCCCCCATTGCATAAATTAAAAGGTGCTTTTTCCTCAGTGTTTCCCACAGGATTTGGAGAGACTATGGTGGGTGGATCCGGGGTCAAGTAAAGTAAATTACATGTGTCCATTTACTTTTAATGGACACATGCAATGTTTTATACTTTCTGTTAGTATAATCCAATTAATCTTATTTCCATACTGTATAGACACCTTATTTTGAAAACTGGATGTTGTCACATGTGTATCCTCCTCGCGCTAAATTCATCAAGTCCGACCAATATGATAAATAACCTTTTATGTGGTTCTGGTACGGCGTAACATGAAGACTTCACAGCCTCTCTTCAGGAAGGACTCTCATACTGCAACACTTGACAATGACAATGACAGGATAAAGTCTCTAAACTGCCTGTCAGCTCGCTCTGGGCTGTTTCAGTGGAACTACCATAAAGGCTTGAATACGTGTGCACTTCAAATTTAGGTGCAGCTAGCTTAATCGCCTTCTCAGAGCCGAGTGACAGGAACACTCAAAGCAGGTCAGACCATTTGTTTTCTTTTGGATGAGCTAGGAGACAATTCAGCAGAACAGTGTCTGCAAACGGCGAGTTTTGCGTCTTTCTCAGACACTTTAAAATGGTTCCACACTGCCGACATGTCAACGTAATTGTTCGGTAAAATTTATTCAATCTTGACTTATTAGGCCGAACACTGAAAGTGTTTTTTTGCTATTTTTGGCTGATTAATTTCGGTGGCCGAATATTCGACACATCCCTACTGGAAGCAAATAAAAAATATAAAAAACACATTTCACAGCAGTAAGTAGGCTTACTGTAAAAACCTACAATAGTAGCTTACAAAGCTTTCAGTCAGTCTCTGTAGGATGATATCACTGTACAAAAGTTTCTCCACATCACCGTAGCAAACATAAAGCGGCCTATAAAACAGTCTGTGGGTCATTTTCCAGAGATCTGATTGGTCAGTAGGCAGCATTTTTATAGAGTTGATCTCTTATCAGAGCCTGCTCTGGAGCCAGTTAGCCGTTCAGCATAAGTTACCATGGAGATCTACGGTGGTAAGAAGTGAACCACCATCGTGGCACTGAAAACCCAGGGTTAGCCCTGAAGTTACCTGGATAAGCTCAAATCCTGCTTCGTGGTACAGGCCCCAGGTTTAAAACAGTGTGGACAAACCCACAGAATTATCCCCTTTCTGAAGTTCCCCTCATCTCTACGGAGCGTTTCAGCTTCTCTCAGCTTTTTGTTTTGGTTTTCTGGCCTTTATCAGAAGCAGGCAGCTGTTTTCAGCGAAAATAGATCTGATCCGACCAAATAGCAGACAGACAAAGTTAGCAACTCGCTGATGAACACAGTGAAGCAGAGCCAGTGTGAATCCGTTTGCCAACATGCTACCTATATCAACTTCATGAGGCCATAATATCTCAAACAACGCCTGTTCAGCCCGTCGTGGAGTTCTGCCCCCAAGTGTCAAAAAATGATTGTGAAATAAACAGGAGGGCTGCAGAAGTGGAAAATCAAGTCCTGTTGTAAATGCTCCGTACTTGTATAGCGCCTTTCTAGTCTTTTCGACCACTCAAAGCGCTTTTACACTACATCTGCATTCACCAGTCAGTCATACACATTCATACACTGAGCCTAAGTGCTCAAACAGAAACTAACATTCACACTCACTCATACACTGGCAGTAGCCAGGGATTGAACCGCCGACCTTCCGATTAACGGCCAACCTGCTCTACCTCCTGAGCCACAGCCGCCCCTAAAAACTACAGCTGTTGTATCTACAGCTGCAACTAATGATCAATTAATCGATTAGTTGTAATATCTTTTGGTTGTGGACAGAACAAGACATTTGAGGGCGTCCTCTTGAGCTTTGGAAAACACTGATCTACATCTTTCATCATTTTATGGACCAGACAAGTAATCGATTAATCGAGAAAGAAAATAACACACACACACACACACACACACACACACACACACACACAAGTAATTTGTACTTCTATAGTTGTGAGGACCCTCATTGACATAATGAGTTCCCTGGACCCTTAACCATTACGACTAAAATGCAGGCCATAACTTCATTTCCAAACTCCAACAAGCCTATTTCTTGTCTTAACCTTCAAAACAGCCCTTTGAAGTTCTGAGGACCGGCCAAAGTGTCCTCACTTGGTTAAAATCTTTTTCTGGTCCCCACACACCCACAGACACAGACACACACACACACACAGACACACACACTTCATGTCAGTGTTTTTAGTTCCTACATGCAGTCACAGGCCTCAATGCTTTCTGACATTTTAAGTGTTTGGTGAGCAAAGAGTCCCACTTGAAGTGTTCATAATGTCACTAACGTTATAACCTAACTAATTAAATCATCACAGCCCTTCATACAGATGGAAAGCGTCCGTGTCCCAGGCTGACCTCTGCTGCTGCTGCTGGGTCCTTGGACTCCACATACACAGACCTGAGGAGGGCGAGCAGCGGCGCGTTCTTCTGGTTCATTGAGTCCGCAATCTCCGCACCTGAAACACACAACATGCTCGTCAACAGGGAACCTGTTCCCGACGTTTCACTGGACAGCTTAACTGGTAATGTGCGTCTGAAGCTGAGGAGCCAGTCTGGCCCCGGTGTGACCCCCGAAGGGACAGTTACCGCTTCACACACTCACCTTCAGCGCTGCCGGCGGAGGGCGGGACGCTGCCCGCGTGTCGGGGTGCTACCGCCGGCTTCTCCTTGGAGATTTCTCGGTGTACTCTGTTTTCCAGGTTGAAGTTTCTGAACATACGCGTGACTCGTGCCCCCATCTTTGATAAGTTGACAGAAAGCTACCAATAAAGTTTAGTCAAACTGTCGACGGTGAGCGAGGAGGTTCATTTCCCAGTGGAAAGGCGAACAGAGGATTAACAGCGACACCGCGTGGCTGGGAGATTCCGTTATTCTTCATTTCTTCATCATCAGAGCACACACTTAAAGGTTCTACTGGTCTATCACGAACACACATTTCAGACAGGGTCAAAGATCAAATCATAAGTGCTCAAAAATTTACATTATGAGGACATTGTGAGAAAAGTCATAATTTTGGCCAATTAAAAAATTTGAAATAGCAAGTCCAAACTGACTTATATTTTTTATTATATTAATACAAATTATTAGTATGTATAAATATATATGTTAAATATAATAATTGTATTTTGTTGTTCATTGTTCCATTGTCCTTTCATTTGTCACCTATCTGTATATACTTTTTTTACATACATACATAATAACTAAATGTTTATAAATGTGTATCTTTGTTCAGTCCTTGTTCTTATTTTTATTTCTATTTATGTGTAAGTACAATAAAGCTGATAATTCTGACTTAATACCTTATAGTTATTTTGTTATTACTACTATTGCTAATTATTTGTTAGTATATGTGCAGTTGGTTAATGTAGCTTTAAAAACAGTACTTATTGCCAAATGTTTACGTGTACACACACACACACAGTATATCAGTATGTGTGTGAGTGTGTGTGACAACGTCGCAATGGTTTTGTGTTCTAGACTGTTCTCTCTTTTGATCTACAATAGCTTCCTAATAAAGGCAAAATGCCCCCATAATACATTTTAAAATTAAAGACGATAAACTGGTGCACACAGCAGAATATATCCTTAAAAATGAAATAAAATAACAACAAATCCAAACCTAGAACCAATAAGGTCAATATGTCGATGATTTCAGAGACACAAAACACAATGTTTGTGCATGTAATATGACCAATGATCAAAAATCAAATGGTCATTTGATATTCCTGTCCTCTAATAATAATTAGAATAATTGAATTTTACTTTGACTGGGTGATTCTAGGAACGTACTAAATTGAGAAAACAACTGTCGACTTGACTTGAGTTGACTTGATTGTGGTTTTGAAAGGAAATAATTTACATATAGAATATTTGGGTCTATTGGCGACCTGTCCAGGGTGTACCCCACCTTTCGCCCAATGTCAGCTGGGATTGGCTCCAGCCCCCGCGACCCTGCGCGCAGGATAAGTGGGTGACAATGGATGGAAGGATATTTAGGTCTTGATCTAATAGATGATTCTTCTTTCGAGTGTAACGCATACATTTCTAAAGTCTACAGTTCAGAAGGTGAGCAGATGGACGGCCAGCAGATGGCAGGATTTTATTTCCTAACACATTCAAAAAGGCCTAGTCATACAAACAATGTTTTGCCTCTTTCTGAAGTTCACACTTTATAAGTATATAAATACAGCCTCCCCGTCTGTTTGTTACAATGAGGTTTCATTTTTTAACAATACAAAGTAAATACATCAGTTATCACTTCCATCCCCATTTTGATCCGGTCACTTTTTATGTGAGGGAAGGCAAATGGAGCACATCTGGAAATGATTATCTGCTCAATCATAACAAAACAACCCGCAGCATATTTGTGAGAAGAGGAATGGAAAGAAATTATTTTCACTTCACTCACTTACTGGTATATGACTCCTGACTTAGGAGCTAATGAAAGTCACAAAGTCAACAAAAGGCCAGAGCCTCTGAGCCAGTGATGCTTCGCAGTCCAGAGCTCTGCACACAGCAGGGCTCCCTCACTCAATAAGACTAATCGATGGTGGACAGAAATGATCTCCTTTTAAATAACAAAGGGGGGAAAATCACCAGACGTACTGTGAAAATGAATTTATTTAGCTACTGATAAAATACAGTAGCTGTCCCTGAGTGTTTTTGACTGTTTATCATTTCTATCTTACAGCATGGAACCTGTGGATTAAGCAACACTTGCAGCTCTGAGGCATGTTGATGCATGCAAGGCTTTAAAGACCAGTAGGTGTTGAGTGTCTAGACTACAGTGACTTGTAGAGTTACAACAGATTTGTATCAGCATTGTCATAAAATAAATAAAACCCTCCACTGTTCAGAAATACATCACTCCTTATACAGGCTTAGTGACTCAGGAAAATCGGAAAGTCTGCAAACAGATTTTGTAGATTTAGACAACGTATTTTTATAAGCTTAGAAATTATACATTATATATGGTGACCAAGAGAGCTCAACACACTGAAACATTGGCAACATATCTCCTGTACAGACCTAAACCAACACTGAGTGTATCTACTAACAGGTTTTGTGTGTGTATCCAAATCCTGATGGATCTTCTTCCTCTGTGCCACAGTTGTGCTCCATTGTTATTAAAAACACATAAATGAGCCACACTGTTGCACAGGCTGACATGAACACACACACTGTAGTTATTTAGACTCAGTCCCCCACACACACACCGACCTCCTGTGGTAAATACTTAGAGCTCCAAATCTGTTATTAATTATCTGCTGCTGAAAATAGTCCCCAACAAATGCAGCACTTCCTCCCTACAGTGACCAGCTGTGAATTACTGACCTTTAAAACTGAAACTTTATATTTGCAAAACTTAGTAAAGATTTAAATCGTCAGTGTGAATGAATGAGCATGGGGCTGTGAGACACAGACAGGTTAGAGAAGAGTATTAAGAGACAGACTAACACATCGCTGGTTTCAAAAAGAAAAATATAAAAGGTAAGTCGACCTCATCCTTTAAGGAACCAAACATCTTCTTCACTTTGACAACATGTTACATTTAGAAATAATCGCTGCAAATACGTAAAGCACAAAAACATTTCGTAAAATATCCACCAATGTAACAGCACATATTTAGCATAAAGGAATGTGCTGTATGTACAAAAAACACAAGGAAATTAAGAGCGGTCAGTTGCAAGCTGTACACAACACCTGAACTGAGTTACAACACAATACATGTATCCTGGGGACACTAATGCTGTTCATGTCATATCACTGACGTCAACATCCAAGTTGTGATCACAACTGGGACGCGCAGACTTTTCAGAAAGCGCTGCTGTATCCGACTCTTGGTACCCTCGTAGCAAACATGGACACCTCATGCCAGCTAAAGTCCGTCGTTGAGTACAATTAAAGCCAAATTTAACCCTCACACGATCAACTCTGCAGTCATCTCAAGTTGTCTGATGACGAGAACACTTGCACATCGTTAACATGGGCATCTCAACCATCCATCCCACGTTGACACGTTAGGAAAAGCACAGGTTTAAGTAAAAACATTAAGGGTAGCTCGGGTCTGTTTGACAGTGAGCCAGCATGCACAATAAAAAGACCCTTTATCCAAAGCTGCAGTTTGTGGAGCTCTGCAACTAACAAGTATTTTCATTGTTGTTTGGTGTATAAAATGTCAGAAAACAGGGAAAAACCGGGACAAATGTGGATCGGTGTTTACCAAAGCTCAAGATGATATCCTCACATGTCTTGTTCTGTCCACAACCCAAAGATATTTAGTTTATTGTCATTCACTCGACACAACACACACTGGATGCCCACCTATGCAGGTAGTAATTTTATTTACAAATGGTAAAAAAATGACCAAAAAAATATATCTTGCTTTCACATATATACATTTAAATGTATTTCTATCAACTATGTAGACAGGACCAATCTCAAGTACAGGTGAGGCAACTGTTTTATAGTGGCTAACCTTGAGGTCTGAGACACAGCAGGACCTCTGAACACTACAAAGGACAAACTTGACTCAGACTCCGCTCTAAAGCTCCACAGAAGCTTATTACAGCACAGGTGGTCTGGTTTCATCTTGGCAATTCATCAATTCCTATTTGGAATCAGTTGTTTTTCCTGAACACCCATTAGGTAGATCTTACAGGTATTAGGCCATTGTTAGAAAAAAACATCTGAGATTTCAAGAATAAAGTCACAATATTTTTGGGGTATAAAAATAATAACGTTACTGGAATAAAAGTTCTAACAGTATGCAAGTATAAGTAATTATATAATGCTAAAAATCATATTATGGGGATAAAAGTCATAATATTAAAACAAGACTGCATATGACTAAGATATAAGTAGAAATCAGTATTTAAATAAGCATCACGTAACATTATGACTTTTGTAAAAGTTTCTGAAAATCTACCTTTTTTTCTTGAAATCTCATTTTTTCCCCCTAACGGTGGTCCTAATATTCTGTCGTAAGGTCCGGCTCAGACTGAGGTGTGGGGTGCATTTAGTTCACCGTGAACAACAGGTCGTGTGTAGTGGGAAGGCCCGGACATGCTCCCGATGTTAACACTGTGTGTGGGAGCAGGAAGAGTAGAGGTACAGTAAGATGAAGCAGTCGATCAGGAGGACGGTGTAGAAACATCTCTGCGTGTGCAAGCTTCGACCCCTCTGAAAGCGAGTCAGTAACACAGCCAGCAGCAGGAAGAAGGTGGCAGTGTTCAGGAGGAGAAAGAGTCTTATGTAGGAGGCCGTGCTGGAGAGACCCTCGCTCCCTGCAGTGGCCACCATGAGAACCTCATTGAATTTGCGGCCCTTGACAAAGCCCCCCTTTCTGTTTTTGCGGCCGTCTGTATAATCTATAAAGGCCCGTGAGTCTGTATCCCCCTCCTCTGGACTGTCCTCATATGTACGCTTCGAAGTCCTCTGTCTCTCCTTCTTCTCATTCACTTCAATCTGTGCAAAAATGTCAGGTAGATTCTCAGAAAGCTTCTCCCCAAGGTTCACTTTCTTCCCCCCTTTACCCTTGCCCTGTTTGTTAGACATAGAAAACATCTTCTTGATGACCTCCTCTGTCTTCTTCTTGTCGGAGAACTGAAGGAGGCGCTCTGCAGTCTTACGGAAGCTGGCAGTGTTGAGAACCCGTCCTAGGATGTGTCTCTCCATCTGCTGGAAGACAGGCTTGACGTGCTGGAGGTTGTCCTCCATCACGTTGACATACTCCTCTACTTCTTTGGGCGAGCTGTCCGCCTCAGCCGGCGTCTTCTCGAACACGATCTTCTTGTGGTCCAGCAGCACCATGGCAAACAGAGGCTTGCTGGTGACCTCCCCGGTCAGCAGGTAGATGGTGTAGGAGTGTTCCTTGGTGGCCAGGTAAATGTCCACTCTCTGGTCATCGCCACGCAGACTGAAGCTCTGTACATCCACGCCTGGTCCAAAGAAAATGTAGGCCACCCTGGTGTGCGGGTACCTCAATGGCATTGTGACGTTCACAAAGTTAGAGCCATTATACGGGTACCCTCGAGGGTAGTTCCAGTATCCTACCACTCCTTTGTTGCTGTAGCCTGTGTCATCCATCCAGAACATCTTATACTTGTCTTCACCGTGTGATACAAACACTCCATGAACACCATCTACCTTTGTACCCTGGAACGGAAGTTCTGTGTTGTGGAAGAAGGCGCTCATGGCCCTGGTTGGGCTGTCGGCATCCAGGTGGATGTGGTCCACGAGGAGCAGGAGCTGTGGGTGAAGAAGTAGCAGGTTCCTCTGGAAGTTCCTGATCTTCAGCTCTGGATTATAAGCAGAATGTCCCTCACCACGGATGAAGACCATTCCCTGTCTCTCCATAGCTGCTTCTACTCTGCCCTGGGCATCAGCTGCCAGCCCCACCTTGTAGTTTAACCACTTGGAATCGCAGGCTTCTGTAACCTGTCCAGCCCACGGCTTAAAGCAACTCCCTGACACAGCCGAGCCAAACAACACCACATTGTTCAACAAAGTGTACTTGGGTCCGTACAGTGCCTCAGTGATGAATGGGACACCGTTTGGTGCAAAAGTGAAAGTGTTCTGATCAGGGTGTTCGTGACCAGCATTAAAGTTCCTCCACCCTTTGATCCACTCCTTGTACTTGTTCCTGTGAACGATGTCAAAGATGGCACGCCCCCCAATCTTCCCCGACTTGAAGGAGAGAAAGGAGCGGTTGGTGTCTGCAGGTAGAGCACTGCCGTACGTGACCACGCCCCAGTCCTCGAAGTAGTGGAGTTGAGATGTTCCAAAATCCGATGGAGGCTTGGGAATCAGGCCCGGGTCATACCTGCAGAATACCGCAAGAGGACAGATGTCAGGTGGTTAAAATACCAATACTGACATATTCAAAAGCAACCACTGACAGAAATCTCATCAGTTTAAATTTGTTTCAGAGGGTTTTTTTTGTGTACACACGTTTTATCAACCTGCCTCACATGCACCGTAATTGTGTGATTCTGTGTTTTCCCAGAATGCCTTTTGACAACCCTAGCTGTCACCCTATAGCTGTGACCTTGCTGCTTTCATAAATTAGTTCAGAATAGGGATGGTTATTGTACTTATATGTTCAGTTCTCTATCGATACTTTCTAAAATAAATCACTTTCCTGACATCAAAATACTGAGTGAAGTTTAGAAAGAATGAAAAACTCAGATATGAGTCAGTGTCAGTCCTTCCTCCTCCTCCTCCTCCTCCTGCAGGTACTGCTAGTAGAGGGAGGAGAGGCCTGCAGCTAAATTAATAAGAAGCCAAGTTTAAAGATTTGTGGCTAAGCTAAACAGGCTACGACAGACAGCTTTCGCTTTAGCTAATTTGTAACAATTCACAATTAGCCGAGCTAGCGTGCTGTGCTTATGTAAAACACAGTGCCAACCAGTGTTGGGCAAGTTACTTCCAAATGTAATACATTATAGATTAATAGTTACTGTCAACTGAGAGTAATTAGTTATACTGCAATATTACTCTCTCTAAATTGTAATGCTTAACACTACTTTTGCATTACTTTTGAGATACTTTTGAGTTACTTTCACTGCTGTTTAATGGGTGCATTTTTCTGATAGCAAGAGGTGCTACATAGTATCTATCATCCTCTCTCCAGTAATCATGTTATCTTCACTGCACCTGGTTCACTTACTGTCTCCACTCTGCTTAATACGCTGTGTGTGTGTGTGTGTGTGTGTGTGTGTGTGTGTGTGTGTGTGTGTGTGTGTGTGTGTGTGTGTGTGTGTGTGTGTGTGTGTGTGTGTGTGTGAGTGTTCGTAGAAGCTCAGCTCCGACACAGAAAGAAGAGGAGAGACTGCAGCGTGATAGTAAATTATACGTTATATGTTATAAAGTATAGATGCTAGTGCTATATGCTAGTGTTGGTTCACCTGGAAGATTTGTTCTTTTGAACGAAATGTTCACGAACAGCCCAACACTAGCATAGCTTAACTTAAAGACTGGAAGCAAGGGGGAAACAGCTCGTCTGGCTTTGTCTGTACAAAAACTAAAATGTAAAAACATCAAAATGTGCTTTGTGTGCTGGAATTACTTCTTGGCCAAACCAGTGACTTGGAGTGTTGTCATCAATGTGAGGTTCCCAGCTACCAGCGGAGACTCCAGGAAGTCACTGGAAGGGCCAAGAAAAAGTCCCACAACCTGTAGAACTACAACATGTTGTTTTTACATTTTGTTTTTTGGAGAGATTAAACAACCGGGAGACAAAGTGTTAACTAGTGAGCTATAGATTTGTTGTCTTTTAAACTTGGAACAAAGCAAGGCTAGATGTGATCTTTCGATTTCCAATCTTTACCATAGAAGCTGAAACTATTAGTGAATTTGTCAACTGACAGAAATGAATCAAACAATTTTGAGAATCAATGATGCCAAACACTTGCTGGTTGCAGATGATTTGCTGGGTTTTCTCTGGTTTATATTGTAAATTAGCCTTTTTAGGTTTTTAACTGTTTGAACACGTCCCCTTGACCATTCAAAAAAAAAAAAAGATTGATCATTCAATGAATTGGTCATAAAATAATTATTAGGTAAAGCCTTAGATTCAAATATCCTGACCATGGCAAGTCATCGGACCTGAACAGAAAAGTATTTCCTGTTATGAAACCAAATTCAGCAGCTCACCAGATGAACTCTGTGTGGAGAGTACACCATCTCTGGCCTTTGCCAGCCTGCCCTGGCCCTTCCATCACCCTGTTTTGATGAATCAGATTGGCCAGCCAGTTTCCACTGCCATTACGCAACACATAACGGTCCAAGAAGACCAGCTGGCTTTCTGGCCCGTAGAACCAGTTGTAGTTGGAATCTGCAATGGCTACAGTCCGCTGAAATCCTGGGGGGACAGTTAAAACACACAGAGAGCACAAGTTCAGTGATGGCTGCTGAAATTTTATATCATAACACACGGACTTGATTTGAATAAAATGATGATGTGCTGACTGACTTGATGTTTGTAATGTGAAAAAGTTAATATCACTTTAAACAAAATGTGAAGTCTTTGTAAATTCTTACACACAGAGCTCATTACTCTTCCCTTCATTCATCCCTCCCTCCCCCCTTGATCCACTCACCCCCTCTTCCCTCATCGCTTCCTATTCAACCCGGTGCACACCTCTCTCATGTCTCATCTAGGTACCGTCTGGGGGGCCAATAAATTACTCGGGTGAAACCACTTCTGAGACGGAACCCCGACTCCGAGTCATCATACATCCTCCCAGACCAGCCTATCAGACGGCATCCTTCCTCTACCACCACCCTTCTCCTCTACATCCATTTATCCATTCGCACATACAGAATATTCATTAAACCTTTAAATGACATACTGTTGTAGCGTGGTCCTTGCTAGTGAATCTACCTTTCAAGATATTCATTACAGGAATTGAGTTAATGCTATTGCAGTATGGATAATTTGCAATCAAAATGAAGTGTTGCTAACATTCAGTACTGCCTTGGCACTGTTTCAGCATTTGCTTTTTGTCAACTGCATCTAAACACAAACATACACAGACACATGCAGTGCAAGGACAGCAACCCTACAGCTACCACTTCCAATGCTTACTGACGTTTTCACTGCTTGCACTGACATTTCAAACTCCTTCAACGGACATGTACATTGACGGTCTCTTCTTTCAGCACATGCACATCCTCTTAACATTTGAAACTCTTTCATCGTTAACACATCACATGACATTTCAGTTCCTTTCAGTGCTTACACTGCTTTTACTTCCACTGACATTCAAGCTCTTTTTCGCGCTTCCACTTGGCGCTTTTCACTTCCACTGACTTTTCAACTGTGATAGTTACACTACTATATCATACAGCTGACACTTCAACTCCATTCAGGGCTTGCACAACAACTGAACTGAATGAAACACTTGAATTGACAGTAAAATCTTTCAGTTAGACTGTCAATTGACTGATATATAACCCATTTCAGTGCTCACACGCTTCATGCTTATACTCAGTCATCACGCAGTCATCAGCCTCCTTCAGCCCTTTCATTTCAACTGTCACTTTAACGTCTCTCAGTTCTCCTATTTCAATTCCTTCAAGTGCTTTTACTATTACTCACTATACTATACATTTCAGTTCTTTTAGTTGTTTTTACCAGAATGTTTCATTAACGTGAGCACACATTATTGGTATTAAGAAAACATCACTGCTAAGGGGGCAGTTTATGATAATCTGGCCTTGTCTTCCTGTCGGGGGGGCTCTGGATCCAAGGCTCTCTTGGCTGATGTAATTAGAGGTGCTTTCTGAATGCAGCAGTGTTGCTCAGCCACAATACAGAAACAGTCGGCAGGGGGCTGTGAAATGTCCAAGCCTGATCTAGGGGCCCCTCCTCCACTGCTGCCCTCTCCTTGACCTACAGACAAAACTTCCAGGCTTTCAAAGGCATCCAGGAGGGTAATAACTACACGCATGCATACCCCATATCAGCTCAGAGGAGAAGCTACTCTCCAATGAGGCAGCCTAAGGTTATTTTCACATCAAATCTAATATGTCCAAATGTTGCCATAGAGCATTCTAGTAAGGACTAACTGGATGTTTCAGCCATTCATAGCAAAGTAAACACTCACTCACGGATTGTTGAGCCTGCTCTGTATTTGGCTGCCTAAAGATATCACATACATTTCAGCTTTTTAAAACAAGTGTGTTGGTCACAGCAGGTGAAGCGACAGTTACCAGGCAGGATCGTTCTGTACAGGAAGGCGAAGTGTTTAAGGAGCCAGGGGTGGTCGAAGTGGCTGATGGCAAAGTGACGCTGCACCAGAAACATGTACTGGAACAAGGAACGGGTGGTGTAAGTCCCGTAGGCCACTCCTTCATACAGGGAGCCATCTGTCACATCCTGCAGAAGCACCATGGACTTCTCCATGATGGACAGGACCTGCTTGGTCCACAGGTAGGCCTCCTGGAGGTAACCTGCAACACAGAGAGTAAAGTTTGGATCCCCAGCGCCTCCATTGTTTCCCACTACACTTCTTTTGCTCATTTACGTATGTTTCTGTTCAGTTTTGCCCACATAATGAAATCATGCATACTTCACATAGCTGAACAATTTTCCAAAACATGGCGTAGTGTTTTGGATGCATGTGTTTTTCTACCTTTCTGGTAGTCTTTGGTAGAGCAACTTTCAAAGTATGGGTGTTGTATATGGTGACATGTATTAATTAAGTATGAAGTATTATTTTCAAATCAATGACCTAACCACAAACCATGGCTAGACATCCTATTGTTACAAAAGAAAAATGCTTGTGTGCAAAATACTTGAAGTGCATCTTCTGTCAAATTATTATTTACCCAGTTATATGGTCAAAACAGCACCAAATTTGTCGGGACGGTTTTTGAATAGGTTAGAGTAAGTATGAGTTGTACTGATCCAGCTGCTGTCACTGAGAACATGTTTTTTAAAGGTTGATCCATGTACCAAACTTGCTAAGGACTGAGAAGAGGTGATAATCCAAGTTTGAGAAAAAATTTCCCAATGAAAAAAGAATCTCACTTCTATGACTTACATTTCCAGAGGTATGAGCAAAATGTAAAGTGGGCTGATCTTGAATACAGGTCCTAAGTACGATTTCTGTGGCATATACAATCATTGTATCTACAGTACAGTCTTTTTTTGTATTTCTTGTGACAAAATAAAATGTGTTATTTTATTATTATATTACTGCACAATAAAAGGAATGAGCAGAATATTAATATGTGTGCCAGCAATCCTATTTGTCTATACAGTAGTATACGTAATTTGTAGAGTAGGCTAAATTAGACAGAAGACTTCTCCTGGTTTGAACTAAACGGGACAGCAGTAATCCTCGTTGCAAGCAGGAGCCATGCGTGTGCTTAGCTTATTGAGAATAGGTTCACACTAGGACTTGACATGAGACTGTGCGTTACAAAGTGATCAGGGGCCTCATTTCTAAAACTGTGCGTAGAATCCTCACTAAAAGTGTACAGGCAAAAAATATTTAGACTTATAAAACGCACACCTGCAAGCAATGTTCCCTTTATAAATCTCAATCAACTTGAAATGTGGCGCATGTGAGCGACCTCCATGTCCGACCTTTCAAACGCCCATAGTTGCCTCTAAATGGTCAGTGAAACGCCCCTCATTAACAATAATACGTACTGACTGCAGGAAGGATGCAAATTGTGACAGAAAAGCTACAAAACGAAATTTAACTCAGTGTGACACTGCCGTTCCTTTTGTTGAAGCTGAAGGATGTTGGTTGGTGGGTAAAAAAAACGGGGGAAAGGGGGCACCGGAGCACCACCCCTTTATAAGCGATCTGCAGGAACGGGCACCCCTCTTAATTAGTGACGTCGCTGGCTGGAGGGGGACACACACGCAAGATGGTTTGACCCAGGTACTAATTTGGATTCCCCCGTTTAGAGAGTAAATCAAATAAATTCCACTTGTGTTTAAACATTTATTTAGGCTACACAAACAGTCCACTCACTTACTGAGGCTGCCAAATTATTAAAACAAATATGACTTATGATTTTCCATAACGTGTATTTACAAGCAGCACATCACATCCACACGCTGACGCACAGCGCTCGGCTCGAAAAGGCAACGAACATCTGATAACAACAGGCAATATGAAACTATGCACTCGTATTTGCTCGACGGACACATTGAAAACGGCATCAATTTAAATGTAATTTGTCCTCCTGTTCACCTTATTTATGACAATAAATTGCACATCATGCACATAGCCTTTTAATTTATATGATTACTGATTAAACTGTTCAACATATTTGAGGCGTTCTTTCGCAGAAACAGATATCTTCGTCTGTGTTTATGAGTAGGCTATATGACTGAGTGTGTTATGTCATTAATGGAATTAATTAAAAACAGCATTACAGCAAACAATGCCTTCTTAGTCTGTTACCTAAAGAAACCTTCCACACACAACATTAAGCTCTGGCTGTGGAAAGCATGACACCACTATGGCACACTACACCATGTGTCTCACACACATACTGGATCACACACAGAGTTGACTATGAGAACAAGCGACCACATAAACACTCCAGCCACAGTTCATTGATGTATCCTGAGGGCCATCGGCGGTAACTGGAGGGGCACCCGTCTAGCCTGCCTAGTCAACCCACTGGACAGTCCCCAACAGTGTTTGGTCTGGACTTGGGGACCGCTGGACTACACAAAGCAGGTATTTACCATCAAACAGGAACTCTTGGCACGCACAAAGACCATATTTACACAGACAGAGCTTCACCAGCACTCACGCAGTCTAGGGCCACACATCAGAGCAGCCCAGGCTTTGAAACTCTTCAGTCACTTTCCTCAAAAGTATAAACATATATTTAAACTGATTACCTTCAATTGTTATGACAGCTTTGTGGGACAAATGAACACTATTTGTGTCCTGGACTATTATTATAAAACAGTGAGTAACAGCAACTGTGATGTTAGCCAGTGAAGCCCTAGCCACATTATGACTGTAAGTTTAATCCTCTTCTTCAATAGACCAAAAAGAAACATAGAGCTGGTGGGAACTGCATATTTATAATAGTTAAAATAATTTAGATAATGATCTGTGGATGTCATTAGTGGAGCTTTTAGAGTCAGTTTTTCTTTTCTGTTGCCAGCTGTTAAAAATCATATACCACAACTTAACATAACAATCTGTGTAAGACACAAGGACAGTAGCAAAAAATTTAATCATTTTTTAAAACAAAAAAACTACATTACATGCATGTCGTGTACTGTCCCCTCTCATTTCCTCTGTTGTCTAATGAGTTTAATAATGTGCCTAGTTTGCCTAATGACAAGCAGAGGGAATAAAGCTGCTGTCAGACTAAGGGCTGAGGCCCGACAGACACCCTGATACCACCATCAGCACACATTTTGCCTCCACACTTTAGAGCTGGGAAATGAGCCTGTCAGTTAACTCAGACCAGAGAGGACTGTGTAAGGTCAAGGGATTATTTGTAATAATACTCTCTGACTCGCCCTCTGCACCTTCAATTTGTCTGTGTCTTTGTCTGTACATTATTTCCTACATTATTTCATTTTAGGGGTGGGACAGAATGAGTAATGTTGTGATATAAGTTGGGCAAATGACTATCCTACTCGGACATTTGCCATTACCAAAATTACCAAATACTCATGAAATTTTTCGTCCATGTTTTATTATTGCTTCCAGTTTGACTTTCCAGAGGCAACTGGTCTCAAGTGACATTTATAGGATAATGGTATATGCTAATAAGTAGAGAGGAGTCATAAAACAAGCAGCACAAGTAATGCTAGCTAACACTAGCCACTATAAGCTACCAAGTAAGCAAAGGAGCAAAATCCCTGAGTGCAATGATTAGAGTAAGGGTGTATTTTACTGCTACTGCTTTTACTGCTTTAACTTTTTATTTGTGAGCAGAAATCACATGTAACATTATTTCAAACGTTATGTGGTTTCACTTGAAATGACAAACAATAATATAATAACTACTAAGGAGCCAGCAGTTTTTTTAGAAGCAACACTGAAGGTGTTGATGCTAAAAGCTGCTCCTGATTAGAAGGAACAGCAACACTACACTTTCGGTTTAAAGCAGAGCCTAAACTACAAAGTAGGTTAACATTCTGAAGCTATTTCACACCAACAAACAACTACTGTTAAAAAATTTAACAATGAGTTCACTCATTATTTTGTTGTGTAATTTATACCACACAACGTATTCATTTGTCAGCCTGTAAAGTTCCAAGCTCTTTTTAAATATGGCATATCAATAAAGCTTAGTTCCAGTTTGACTTGTCTCCTTCTGTCTATATGTCTCTCTCTCTGCTGAGTTAAAACTTTCAAACATCATTATCAATGAATGAATTGAGTGATTTATGTGGGTGATGTGACATACAGCTATGTGGCTAGCTAGTGTCGAGCTGTTTTTCTTTCCAGGTTAAAATACATTTGTAGCCATGTTGTGTTTGGTTGTGCTACACGTCTACTTAGTGATAGAAATAGCTTAATTAAACATAATTACATTAATGGAAATACCAAAACCACCACAGTTGCTACAGGTAGCACTGTCTGAGCAAATCATCTCCTCTGTTGAATTTTTATTACATTAGATTACCTTTATTCATTTATCTGAAACTTTTGTCCAAAGAGACTTACAATTGCTATATATGTCAGAGGTCGCACGCCTCTGGAGCAACTAGGGGTTAAGTGTCTTGCTCAGGGACACATTGGTGGATGTGTCACAGTGGGAATTCAACCCAGGTCTCCCACACCAAAGGCATGTTTCTAATCCATTGCGCCATCGCCACCCATCCACATTTATTGTCCAATTTAATTGGAAATGTGGAAAAGGGGGGTTGACATTACTTTTCTTGACTTTGCAAATTTCTTAACAGGATGCCAAGCTGTTTCGTGATAAGCCCACGGCTGCATCCCTCTGGCAGCCATTACAGTGTGGGTGGCCAGCGGGAAGGATGTGACAGACAGGGGAGATGAGTTCTCTACAGATAACTGTGGTTAAACTGTGCACAGTTCTGTCCAATTAAACATTCAGCTTCAAGGCACCAACAAGCAAACACCTGTATGTGGAATGCACTTCTATAAGCTGCTGCTGCCTTCTTATCTAAACCAAAATCTCTCAACCAAACTCACTGACAGCATGAATATTTCAGTGAGAGGCACATGAATTGTTCCTTGTAAGAGCATGCCATTTTAGGGCACATAACAATGAAAAATCACTCTAACTTATTGCAAAATGTCAGCAATGGGCTTAAACTTGGGTAATAACCAATGAAGAAGAAGAAGACAAGTGGTTGTCCTTCATTTCTGGCAGCACTTCTTGGAAACTTTCCATTTATTCACAGCCATCCAGATGGAATAATATTTAGACATAATGTCATCACTCTGCACAGGAAATGAATGATACATATACGATACTGGAATGCAGTCAGGCCTCTGCCCAGTGTTACACGTGACACCTGAGTGAGACTGCTAAACAAGAACAAATATCCGAAGGGGGCACAAGGCTTATAGCAGAGGGGCAACGTTGTCATGCATAGTGAACATGAAACCATTCTGTGGTATGCTTCACAGGAGAAGTTTAAGAAACATATCTCCAAAATAGTGCATTCTTGTTGCTTTCCTAATAATCTGACAAAAAAAGACAAGGAGAAATCACTTAGCTATGTGTAGCCTAAAAAAATGCTAGGAAACACACCTTTGACATTGACCGAAATGTTTTACTCAAAACACACATACAGTGGGGAGAACAAGTATTTGATACACTGCTGATTTTGCAGGTTTTCCTACTTACAAAGCATGAAGAGGTCTGTAAGTTTTATCATAGGTACACTTCAACTGTGAGAAATGGAATCTAAAACAAAAATCCAGAAAATCACATTGTATGATTTTTAAAATAATATTAAGTATATTTAATATTAAGTTCTGCTTTTCTGATGTATCAAATACTCATGTCATGCAATAAAACGCAAATTAATTATTTAAAAATCATACAATCAGCAGTGTATCAAATACTTGTTCTCCCCACTGTACACTAACACATAATGAGGTTAGAGAAAAATTGACAACACAGAAAAAAACAATCAAATAATCTCACTGTGTTCGCATATGCAGATTAAATGTTAAATAAAAAGAGGTGGTGGGGTGAAGCTATTTTCTCACCTCTGCTAGGCATGAAAAAATAAGTTCTGCATGAGGTCTGCTGTACAGCACACTTTCAACAAATAAAATCATAAACAAAGCCCCCAAGCAGCGGCTGAGCAGAATCCCCTCCCCAGGTAAAACAGACAGGCAGAGCTGGAGCAAGCTCACCGTTTCCTGGACTCGACACAAAATCAAATCACGCAAAAAGAGGTCAGACTAGAACTCTCCTGTGTGTTTGTTGTTGCCCTCTACAAAAAAGCCTCAAATCAAACAACTGTGACCACAGCGCTTCTCTGTAAGCCAGCTGTCATTTAGTTCACATCAGGACTGGATCTTTTTTTGACCAGAAATCAAATCCCTGTAAGCAAAGCAAGCTGTACTGCAGGCATTCACCTTCAGATGGCCTTTCTCTGCTGCTACACGAAATACTGTGCAGGATATTGAGGCAAAAAGAAAGATTAAGCTGTGAATAATCCTGTCAGGTCTCACAAGGGAAATGCTGGAGGACCTTAATGCAGAATGTGACAGAGTTATGTGGAGAACCTCATCTGGAGAACAATTACAAAGGATTAAGTGCAGCCATGGAAGATAACCTCAGGCTGGCTACACTGAAATTGCAGTCAAAATGTCAAACTAACATTGGCAAGTTTCACCATGAAAATAATGAATTATTATTAATAAATTGATTAAAATCTGTCATTAGATGACAAAATATCTTTCAAAATATGTGAATCATTTTAAGAAAAGAAAAAAAGAGAAAAGGTTCCAAAGGAGTATGTAAGAAACAAATATCTGATGCATTATCTTTAAGGAATGTCTAGGGTTCAGCAATTTTACAAAATGTCAGATTTGATTAAATGATTTGATCATGGATATCCAGCTTACTATCAAGTAATAGAAAAGAAATCTTTACATTTAAGAAATTGAAATCAGAAGAAGTCAGGTATTTTAGTCACAATTATCCAATTGACCCTTTGCTAAGCCACGCCCCGAATACACAGTTGGCCAATCACAGTGCAGTATAGGACTCGCTCTAACTCTAAGGTCCGACACTTACATGGCAGCGCTCCATTTACTCTGTTGCAAAAGGCGTTGTTTTCTAGATTGGTCAAACACTGTTCCTGGGTCACTTGTAACAATTACAGTCGCTACCCAGAGAGGTCGAAAGCAGAAGTACGATTTATTCCCTTTCCTAAAAAAATCTAGAAAAATGTAACGTTAGGCTGTGGATTGTTCCTAATGTAATGTTTATTAGCTAACGCTAACTAACATCCTGCTTAATGTAACATTATAAAGCCCTACTGATCTGCTTTGTAATGACTGTAATAGTGAACAGAGACCCACCCAGCTGTACAGGAACAGTCTTTCTCAATAGTCAGGTAACTTAATGCGGTGGTTCACTTTTCACTTTTATTCTGTGACCGGTAGGTTTTAGCTTCTGTCTTTATATTTTTTCATATCAGTTTGACTGTCAGTTTTTAGCCGGACTAATTGAGTAAATAATAGTGGCAGCTCTGCCAGAAATCTGTCCCTGTTGTTAGGAATGTTTGCTCTTTTCAATGGAAAGTGGCTAAAACCTGTTCAAAAAGACACTAAAAGGACTCCATGTACATGTGTGGTGCAATTACATAGTTATTTGTGTAAAGTGTGTGTGTATGTATATGTGGATATACTTTTAGTTCACTTTAGTCTTTCTTCTTAAGAGCTGAAACAAATAATCAATGAACAGTTTAGTTGCTCAACAGAAAATAAATAAACAACTATATTGAAACAGTAGGGAAAGAACAACCATATAGAGAAACGCTGCGACTGACACAGACGACAACAGAAACTGTTTCCAGGAGAGAAGTGACATTGTTCTCCCACTGAAAGTTATTCCGATACCACTTACGGATAGCTAACTTCAATAACTTTATGAGTCACAAACCATTACATCAACAAGTGTGTCCCACCCATGTTCAGCACTTTTTAGTGTCCCCCGGTAACAGTTTCTGTACCCCAGTGACCCTAAGGGAGAGAAAGTATCTGTGATCAAGCTGCTTTATAGAGTCTCTTGAGTATCTTGGAGGTAGATGTGAATGAGTATTTCTAAAATAAAGCTATAACCGTTACTGTGAGCTAATATTCTAAGTCAATATGTAACAGTTTACAATCTGGGGTTCTATGTCAAAAATGACATTTTTACTGTCACCCCTCCACAACTGCATTCTTAGCTAGGTTTGGAAATCCCCTAAGTCTGCCTTTAGACTATGTGAGCCTAAACTTTTACAGTGAAAACCTGACTAATGTATTCCTTTAGTTGAGTTGAAGCTTTTAATGCTGAGCACACAAAGCTGGAACAAGTTCACGGGCTGAGTGAAGACTTTATAGACTTTAGACTTTGTTGTCCCCACAGGGACATTCATTTTCCCAGCACTGTACACATCAGACAACTTCACACAGTAACAACATACAATGACGGATAACAGCACACTCTCAGGCCAGTTCAGCAAGGCCTTTTATTTGTAGGGGGGCATAGAAAACACAGGGAATCATCCTCTGGGGAATATGAATATCTAAACCACACTTCTTAACATCCTTTGCCACTGGTTGCAAAGATGTTTTACTGTGTTGGACATACTGACCAGCTTTCCCATCTTTAGGCCTTTAGGCCACATAACACACTACAAAGACAGGAATCCCTATCCACTAACCTTGGGTCATGTAAACCAGGCTTCCTGTGAGCAGAGCCACGCAGTTGGTGGGCTGGTGGTTGTGCAGGTACTGGAACCCCCAGCCTCGGACGTAGGACTTCTCGTACATCAGGCGTGACGCGTTGCCGATCACCTGGAGGAAACGCTCCTGCTGGCCCTTGTTCAAGTACTCGTACAGAAAGTCGTAAGCAGTGGCAAACCCAACCAAAGAGTGCGCCAAAGGCACTTCATCCCAGGGGGCGTCTTTGACCAACCTGAAACACAAACACCACCAGGCTAAAGGCGAGGCGTCAAACATATGTGGAGCACGTGGAAAATAAACATTCACTGGTAAGCAGGTGTGAAATCGTCACTCTTTAAATGGAGTCCTGGCAAATGGTTTCTCATGAACAAGAAGCCTTTTTATTTGCAAAGCCTTTTAATTATCTTTAACAAGGCTGTAAAACGTCTCTCCACTTTTAAAGAAAAAACAAAGATGCAAACTAGCATTTTACACCACAATTACAGCTGCACCATTGTTTCCCAATAAGTAGACATTAAAAGTGTAGCATGTGCACATTCTCTCCTGGTTGACAAGCGCTAGGATCTCACAACACGTCTGTGTATTTTAGGAATACAAAGTGTATGTGTTGGAAGAGTGAAGTGAAGAAGTGAAAGGTGTTCTGTAATCATCCGGCTCACTTTAATTAAAGTGAAATTAACTGCATATATGTTGATGAAACCAATAGATGTATTCTAACCTGAAATATGCTTAGATACACTCAAGGGAGTACCAAAGCCATGACTTCATCTCCAGTCTTGCCTTACTGAGTCTTTATTTGGAAGGAGTAAAAGTGAAACACGCTCCTGGGGTTTACCGTCCATCCAGCAGATATTAGTAGAAATCTTCATAATCTTGTTAGCATTCAAAAAACTACAGCTAAATCAACTGGTGCAGCAGTGCTCATAATAACGTCTTACGTTTCTCCCACGTCCTCAATATCCATCCACACTGTCTTCTAAAGTCATCTTTCCAACTTTTAGGCTGCAATCACTATACCTAAATCTAAATCCCATTACACCATTCAGCCACCTGTCCATTCTCTCAGCTCACCACCTGACTGGGCTTAGTTTGTCTAGCAGACGACTTTTAACCTGCACCGGCCTTGGACTCGTGGGAAATGGTGTTCATTCACGGCTAATATAAACAGAATTATTAAATAAACAAATGTGTAACACTGTTTTACCATCCCCCTCTAGACTACTGAGCCCAGCAAGTGTCATGCCGCTCAGTGTTCCTTCCTACTGTTCACGTTAATGCAGCGCAGAACAAACAGTGACAGTCATCAGGCAAAAGACAATCTGATCTAAATGAGCTATTTGAATTCATTGCGGATAGAAATACATGGATATCCTTTGAATTCGTCTAGTTGAACAATGCTGTGGATGTCAAAAGCTGCTTGCACACATGTTAAAATGTTAACAATACACACTGAAAGAGACACGCACAGCCAAAGTCCACTAGGATGGGCGCTGGATAAACAACATTTCCAGCAGATAAACCCGCACACCAGAGCCCCGTTTCAGAAAGCAGGTTCAACAAACTGAGTGTAAACCTGAACTCTGGGTTTTCGGTTACAGAAAGGCCGATCAGAATAAGTTCAGTCAACTCTGAGTATGTTGAGCATGATGGAAGCGCATGCGTGGGGATGAAAAACAGCCATCATCAATGGAGCTCCGATACTATAATTCACCATGGCAACGGGTAAATAAAGGCAGAGCCTCCATTTTAATCGGGTGGAGCTAGAAATATGAATGCGTGCCAACACAGACCCTGATAAGCTCTAAAATGCAGGAGTGGAGGAAGGATCAATACGTTAACCATATTACATTTTTTCATTACATTACAACCTGACGGGACTAAATGCTCTAACTGAAGATGAAAATATTAATCAAACAGATTAGACATAGTTTGGGCTCCTCATGGACCTGCAATTGTAAAGCCACAGTCCGACTCAGTAGGCCTATGGCCATTAAAGAGGTGGTATTATGCTTTTTGGCTTTTCCCCTCTCCTTCATTGAGTTATATATCTTTTTTGTGCATGTAACAGAGTTCCCATCTTCCACAGAAAACAGCTCGTTTATAGTCCAGCCCTTCACTTCCTTTACTTGTGACGTCACAATGAAAACGCGTCATAAACTTGCCAAGCAGCTAGCGGGGTCAGGCACGCACTCAAACACTTTGGCTCGACTCGCCTTTGTTTGGTTTTCCATTGTAGAAATGTTGTACCTGTACCTGCTTCCAGGTACTTTTCACCTCCGTCAAAGTTCCAAGCGAGCTGAGAGATACTAAAATGTAACGTGAAAACAGACAGACTGCTGACTGGTCAGAGAGAATATTCACTATTCACTGCATCATCATTGCTGCGCCAGACCGAGGCCAGCAACAGAAAGCTTTATATTTTACAGTTTCCGTATGGAATTTCATCACTAAGTCTCCTTCTGAGAAGTTTTGAGGTATAATCAGCTGTGTAGATTTCGAATATTGACAGTTTTACGAGAAGTGATGGCGGAACCAAAATGTTGAGGAGCTCAGCAAGTGGCTGCGGAGGAAGCCTGCGCAGGAGGAGCGTGTGAGGCCGGCCAGCCGCCCGCTCACAGAGCCCTCTGCTCCCATTCTGAGGAATGTTGAAACATTTTAACTTAAAAAAGAGAAATCTGTGTGGATCGCTGGTGTGTTTGTCGCATATGACATTACGTCGCAGCAGTTGTGTGTGGCGTCGCTATGACGACAAGCTACGTACTATCTCTGGGTACTATCTGCGATGGAAAACGGAGCAGGGCCGAGTAGAGTCGAGTAGCATTTTTCAGCAAGGCAGCATAGATCGTCAGAACACCGGCAACAGTTCAACGTTTCCCTCATCTCGGGCTCAACTTACTCTGCTTTCTGAAACAGGCCCCATAGACAGCAGCTCCCACTGAAAAGTTTAGCTAGTGGTGTGCTATTTGGTGTGCGGGTTTAACACTGTCTCAACTAAACGTCCCAGCTGCTCCATTAACTCTTAAAAGTAATCAATAGATCAACAATATTGGGTTTGATTGGTGGGGGGTGGATGGGAGGTGTTTGTTTATATAATACAGATTCCAAACTGAATAAACCTGAATGTTTATTTAATCTTTTCAGTTGTTGTGTAGAAATCTCTGTATGTCCTCTGTATAATTGTTATATGATTTTTTTATACTCCAAAGATGATGCAATTCTAAGAATGTATAGTATAGGAAGTATTGCAACAATATTTGGACAGGTTCATCCATTTGATGCTGGTAATACATGGTTTCCACATGTTAAGTGGCAGCTGAGGTTTATTTGAAAACCACTTCCTGTCTGGTCTTGCAAATGAACACCAAATGGACTGAAAAGCTTCTTTATGTTTCAATTTGTCCATATGGAAAAAAGACTATAATAAAACAAATGCCAAGTCACTGTTGGACTGTATATTGAACTATGCCAAAGCACACAAAATCTCACTTCTGTATGTTTGCACAGACTGTGTAAAAAGAAAAAAAGAAGAAGCAGGCACCAGTATGCCACAAAGTAGAAGTTCTCCATCGAAACATGGTTCCTGGCGTTGTCTGGGACGTAATTGAAGGTCATGAATACCACAGCTGACTGATTCCTGGAGCCACGCTGCACAAACCCTCAGAGTTTAAGTGACCATAATGAAAGCGTGGCCAAGGAGAAAACTCATAGTGTGTTCTTAAGACGTGAAAACACATGCTCAGTGGCTTCTCCTTTCTGCACTGAGGCACACATACTGATATTGTGAAAAATGTCCTGCAAATTGCACATACACTACACCATCTAAACCCCCCAGTAATTAGCTGCTGGAAAATCCTCTCCCTCCTGTTCAGTAGCTGGAGGCAACCCTGCAGCCATGCAGCAAAATGAGCTGAGGATCAGACCCCTCATTCCCTCCCCCCTTTCCCCCACATGAAGGAGGGGGGGTGTACCTGTAAGAGAGAGGGGACTCTCCCAGATTGTAGCTGAAAAGATGAACACACTCATATGTCCTTCTGTTGCTGTTACATTCAGTCTAACATTTGAACAAACAATATGTTTTATGACTTGGAAAAAGGGAAAACTGAATTCATACTGTGAGCAACCTAACACGTCACTCAATCCTTACCACTGGGAACAGGCACTGTGAGTGTCTCAGTCTTTATATCTTAACATTGTTCTGGAAAAAACACAAAGTGGGACACTGAAGTTATCAAGACCAGTGTTAATATTATTCATTTTCTCCGATCATTCTCTCAAAACCCAAGGCCATACCAGCAGACAACCTACTGACAATTTGAACGAGGCTGCAGTCGGTTAACTGGTCAAGTTTAAATTGTTCATGCTTCATGAACGAATGTTTCAAATGACTAATGCGCAGCTAGAATTGTTTAAAATGTGTCCAAAAATTCGCATCTTTGCCAAATTACTGCCATTTGCATTAAAACAGCCAAAATGATCAAAGAAATTGAACTGAAAAAAATGTCCATAATACGGCATGAAGATTAAATAAAACTTAAACTGAGGAAAGGATGTGCGTTTGGTGTCTTATAAATTATTAACAATGAATCGTTATTGATTGTTAACTGACATGTCAACCATGCAGACAAACAAAACACTTACGATATGCTCATAAAAGCATTGCTCCACAGCACCCCAGGGGGTCAAAAACTCCACAAAGTACCTTTAACTTGTTTGAACTTGTTAAAAAGATGGTGAATGAACATATGAAAGTTGCGTAATTGTTTTTAAACATATGTAGACATTTATGCATTTGCTAAGACGTACAGATATTCATACTGACGAGTATGTGACCTTTGTTATGTTTTAGTGATGTTGTAGTTAAAAGATTTTGTATGATTGGATGATTTTAGTTAGAAATTCAAAAGTCATATGGAATTGTGGATATCCACTGTTTTTCGCCCTGACAACTGTCATTACATTTTCTAATTCTTCTTTAAAACCCTAACCCTACATGATATCAAGTGTGACATAACATCCATATTTGTTTTGGGGGGGGGGGGGTCCACAGTAAGGCCATGTGGTCAAATAATTTATTTAACACAATAACAATAAGAAGAATCACTAGATAGCAGAAAAATACTTTACAACATTTAGAATGGAAATCGTGACACCTCTTATATTTGGGTGGTGATGGTGATGGAGCAGTGGCCAAGACACATGCCTTGGGTGTGAGAGACCTGGGTTCAAATCCGCTGTGAGACACCAATGTGTCCCTGAGCAAGACACTTCTGACATGTATATCAATTGTAAGTTGCTTTGGCTAAAAGTGTCAGCTAAAAATGAATTTAAAGAAATTTGGGTAACACCATCTCTTAATCTCTGTGAGATTATGTGAACACACGTGAATGAACAGTAGAAGGTTACCATGGACATTGGCTGCAACTTCTCCAAGCATCATTTCTGAGTGCTTCATTCCTTTAGTCTTTGAAATAAAAGCTGTGGAGAACTAGGGAGCAGTGAATGACTGTAATCCACTTCTCAGCCACTTTGCACTTACCAGCCAGAACTAATGTGCATTGAACTTAATCAAATTGTTAGGGAAATACGGAAGCACAGTTGATGGCTGATGCCTGCATTATCTTCAGCCTTGGCTGACTCTGAAAAGCCAAAGGATTGTCCAAACCTGGGCGGAATGGTTAGATTCAGCTCACTGAGTTGATTGTACCCTTCACAGTATGAAGAATGGTAAGAATTTTTTTTTTGCAACCGATTCCTACCGAATCTTACTTTTTGTATATATATATGTGTGTGATTTATATTTATGGAACTACAGGTTTTTCAGGGAATACTATAATTATATGTAGACATCCAATACTCTTCCCTGTTAATCTGTTCCAACAGGACTTATGGTATTTATGTATGTATCATAACAGAAAGAGATGTGACCTTTGATTATGACCTAAACTAAGAGAAAAGCCTGGGAGCACCCCCTACCCCATGTGTCAGGAACCTCCTCTAACCCTTGAGGTGCTCAGGCTGAGTAAAGAAGTGCAATTTTACAGACAGATGAAGTCAAGGTGGCTGGTAACCTACAGCACAATATCAAAGGAGATGTTAAGGACTTTGGGGTGGGTCCTGCTTTATTACCTGACCTTGAGGCCCGGTCTTGAGGAAGGGCCCTATATCAGTATGTAGCTTTAAGATTTTCATTATTTAATTTATTTTGTGCTTATGTATGCTTTCTAAATCGGCTCAATAACATGTGGAAATCAGATTACCACACCACAGGGTCATTTTACTTTTCTAGCATAGCAATGTTTTAAATCAGTGGTTCCAAGGAGACCAAAGGTTAATCTCAGCTGTGAGCTGTTTAACAGGAAACACATTTGTTTTGCTTTTTAAATGATCTAAAATTACTAAATAATACACAACTTGAAAAGGTTAGGAATCATTGCTGTACATTATAGTCTGATTAGATCTTGGGAACCCTGGTTTACATCTTTTATATATTTTGGACAATTAGAGCAGAGTGGAGTTGATCCCTGTGGGGTCACCTGGAGCCTCAGCCCTGGCTACTGCAGAGGGCTATTCAGCTTACATCTGAACATTTCATTTCCTTTCATTGGGTGGGTGGGGGTGCAGTGGGGGCATTCTCCACAAACAGCTGCTCAACATATTTCCTGGACCACGGACTTATCGGACCACAATGCATCTTTACCAGAGCTCTGCCCACACAGAAAAATGAGAACACTCTAATGGGGGGACTGAGTAGAAAGCCTCTGAGTGGGAGTATTTTGCTTTAATACCCAGTGGATGCACACATACACACGTACCATCTGATAAAATCTGAATACATTTCAATCAGTCTTTGTATAAAGAAAACAGACAAAAAGGAAATAAACCCTAAGTGGAGGGTGGTTCAATTTGTATTTTTTTTTTCACAATTAGTAGCCTAAAATCTCATTGTGTCAAATTTAAAAGATGAAATAATAAAAAGACAGAAAATGTACCAACTAGGCTGAGCTGCCATCCTTTCCATGTAGTCCTTGGCCAGGTCGAGGGCCCCGGCCCTGTGCGGATACAGCAGGCAGAACATGGACAACACACCCAGGTTGTTTCCATACACCTCGTTCCAGCGAGCACTAAACTCTACGGGGCTCCAGGGGGGCAGGTACTCCTCGGGATGCTCCAGCATGGTTTCACCAGCCTCACGGATCCTCCTCGCCATGTCCTGATGAGTCCCCGCGGCAGCGTACTGCATCTCCTCCACATCCCCCCGACTGAAGTACAGCATGGGATGACCATCATAGTTGCCTCCCATGAAGGGGATTCCTCCACTGGGGTCCACTTCCGCTGCCGCCACCACCACTGGGGCGAGCAGGGGCCACAGTAGACTTATGAAAAAGACTGTGGGGGCCCCGCGGGTGTGGGTTCTCATCGTCTCATCAGAGAGGGGACTGGGGCATAGCCTAAGGAGCTCAGCTGAGAGGGAGGGGGGGGGGGGGGGGGGGGGGGGGGGGGGGAGAAGGATTTGAGAAAGCCAGCCCATATTCTGCACAAAAGTCCTGCATTCCTTGAATAATTAGATACAGCTGTAGTCCTGATGATGCAGGCTTTCCATACTGATGTAGACCACTATTGGGCAGAAGCACAGTTAAGAACTAATCACAGAACTGTTCGATAGCCTAACATAGGAGTCACTGTTGTTAACACTTAGATAGTTTACATTTTCTCCAAATTCTAATTTCTTTATAGTTACCAAGAATACGATGATACCCTTCTACCATTAAATCTTCACTTTCTATATGAACAAAAGAGCTAAATCTGGAGGTTGTATTACACCTCTGCAATGTGTTGCCCAACATTCACTTCCCAAGATTTATTTCTGAGTTGTCTGAATTGTCAGACAAGTCTGGCCATGCACACCCAGATGGCCAGACGAGCAGGCCTGGAGGTCATAAATGGCCCATTACTGCAGTAACACTACTCTGGTCTACTAAACAGCCTCTAAACCAAACTTAACTGTGCTTTACCAAGACGACAAGAGCTGGCCCACCGTCTTTGCTCTGAACATGAGAGCAAATTCCATGACCTTAGTGGAGTTCTTGGCAAAGGCCTGGTGGAAAACCCTTTGGTAGTGATTTAAATGCTGTCTAGACTGGAGTCCAATCTAATGCAATGAGGTGTCCAGGGTTTGCATGTGCTGTCTTTTATAAACAAGGACAGCTCAAATTGATAATTAAAAACGGCGCCTCTCATGAGGTCAATTTTGACATTTTACCAAATGAGACCAAAATCCTGTGTAGTGAACATGAGGATGGGCGACCACCAAGACAACTCTGGACTGATTTACACTAAAACTGTAACTGGTACCTAAATTAAACTGATCTGAGACTGACTTGCTTTGCGATACTTCACTAAATTCAATGTATAATATTTTGGTTGGGACTTGTAGCAGGTCTGTGCTCCTCATAAGTGATTCTGAAGTGACCTCATGGCACTTCAAGGCATTTTTTTCTACAATAGCATCACTGTAATGTTTTCTTATGGGTACTTACAGCCAGTGGTGTAGAGTTTTAGAAATACTCCTACAACCCCATTCATATTTTATTTACTCAGTCAAACATTTAATTATATTTTTCAGTAAGTTACGTAGAGCAGTCATTTAATTGATTAATCATTTATGTTGATAATGGATGGAGGCAGAGCTGGCTGCCTGTTAATCGGAAGATCTGCGGTTCTCCAGACCCGGCTTCTCCAGGCTGCATGTCGAAGATACTGAACCACGAATTGCCCCCGACGGTTGTTCCATCGGTGTGTGAATGTGTGTGAATGTGATGTAGTGCAAAAGCGCTTTGAGTGGTGTGAACTAGAAAGGGGCTATACAAATACAGACCATTTTCAAGACCATTTTAGATTAACTATCAATTTACCAAGCAAAAATTACAAACTTACATGCAGGTTCCAGCTTCTCAAATAGGAGTATTTGCTAATTTTCAAACAAAACATGTGAAGACTTGCCCTTGGGCTCTGGGACATTGTGATGGTGTTTTCAAAGCCCGTTTCACAATTCCAGGAATCAAATTCTAATGGAAAATAATAAAATCCTTTATAGGGCTGAGTATCAAAACCCAGTATTTTCTGAGCACCAAGTGTCATTTGTCTGTAGCACAGAGTATCAAAACGTGGCAAGTGTCAAACGTTTGTATCCAATACTATGAAGTTTAAATACTTAACCTTTTCTCAGCTTAGAGCAGTATGACATATCTGTAAACAAAAAGTAACCTAAAGGCGTGTTGTAGAAGGATTAATACCTAGCCTAGTTCAGTATGAATCTATTTTTGTTCTTTTAAAAGTAATAAAATGTAAGTAAATGAAACAAACAGGAATCAGACAGTGTGTTTTAGCTGTAAAAATAATAATGTTAATCCAAAATTTAAATCAAGATTAACCTCTCCTCAGGCCTTGGAGTTATTTCATGCTCTGAGAAAATAGTTACGGCCAATCAAGTTCTGTCACCCAATATTGTTCCACTGCTGTAAGAAGATAAAACAGCAGAGGTTTCATTGTCATCCACCAGTGGTTCTACCAGCAAAGCCATTCCTCCCTCCTCAGATAAGTTAACTGATGCCTCTCCTGTTAAATGGGAGGAACTTTAATATCCAACACTAGCAGCCTTTTTCAAACTTTAAGCTAACTTTTCGTTCACTAACTCTTACGGTTTCATTAAAACGTATCCTGCTGCTGCTGCTGCTCTAGTTTTAAAATTCCTCTCCACCAAAGAGTGAAGTGAATCTTTACAGCAAAATCAGTTATCGATGAAACTGCTAATTAAAATCTGCGCACAGAAGTCGCCTTGTTCCTGTCGACCACGGGCAGCCAGCGAAGAAGAAAGAGCAGTGAAGGGGGAAAGCCGTTACGTTACCTGTCAGAAACGGTGCTCACAAGTCCGTGTTCCCGTCCTCACAACAGGCATTTCTTCCCGTCACAGCAGTGATTTTGGAAAGATTATCAATAATGGTTGAAAAGTTTACTTCAGGGACGAGACAAAGTTAGAGAGGGAGGGAAAGAATGTGTGCGCGCGGAGGGAGCGTCATGCTGGCGAACGAGGAGGGGCAGCCGGGGAGAGAGGCTTAAAGGAGACCTAATGAAGAAAGTGGCTGCCTCCTCCCAGACAGACAGCTAGGTTAACAGGTAGCCAAAAGAAAGTTCCAGACTAAAGCTGACCAGAGATATAACGTTAGTGTGGTACTGGAGTCTACTTTTTACAAGACTTAAATGTCTCCTGACAGGTGTTGGTTAGACTGCCTCCTAAATCAAACCCCCCAGTATCAATATTGCAGCTTGGCTCTTTGCTAGCTCCATTAAAGGGCCGTGGTGGAAGAAGTATTCAGATCCTTTACTAATTTTTACTACTGTCTACTACTAATATCACACTGAGAAAAACTCCATTACGAGTCAAAGTAGGCTACTGCATTCTAAACCTTATTTAAGTAAAAGTATGTAAGTATCATCAGCAAAATGTGTTTAAAGTACCAAAAGTAAAAGTAGGCTACTCAGTGCATTTAAGGTATCCTGTCAGTGTTTTACTATTAGGATGTTTTTGGAGTAATGATAGATAGACGTGGCAATACAAGCATGAGGGAGGTTAAGAGGATTGACTTCCTGTAGTGGTGCTAATTAGCAGAGTTTCAGGGGTGGGACCACACATCAATCACGTCATCGCCCGCATTTCCATAAATACCCACACGTCCTAACTCCTCCCCTTCGCTCTCGTATCCTGCATCCCCCCCCAACCCCTTTGTCTGTCCTGCCTCCTGATCTTCTTCCTGCAAAGGCGGATTTCCCTATCGTAGATTCCCCACAACACTTTCGAATGTCTCTTCGGCAACCGCAAGCCTCGTCCATCTTCTGTTTCGATCATCAATAAATCATTTAATCATACCTGTTGATTGTGTGGTCCTTGCTTGTGAAGTGGTCCTTAATAGAGAGCCTAAGTCCCTCCCCTTCTGGTGGACCACCATGGGACCTTATTTCGGAAAAATATTGTACGGTTGTCAGGAGACAACAAATATTGAATTGTGCCCTGAATTACAAACATGATCTTTGTCGATTTAAAAAATACATTTTAAATTAAAGAAGGTTGTAGTTTGATGTAAAACTGTTGAGCTATAAGACTGAAAATACATTATTACAAAGACCACAAACCCCAAAAGTCTCGTATTTGACGTCGTAACTTTCTCTGTCAATGACTGAAGCTAACATCAAAACACTTACATGAGAGGATGATGTGATAAAAGAGCCAGGAGTCATTGGATTGAACACATCAGGTGACATATATTTCTGTGTGGAACTTAACTACATTATCTAGCTAGTAGCAAGAAAGCAATGAACGTTAGCTTGCTTTACCGCGCTAACATGTTGGTTTCACACAAAATGATGTAACTTTACTGTTTTACAACAAAATGCGACTTTCTTGACTTGCAAAATTCTATTTTAAATTGACCAACATCATATGTGTAATTCAGGGTTTAATTCTAACGGGATAAAAGATAAGTTGTTTCTTGCCATTAACTACCGTACACAATTTTTCCAAAATAAGGTCTCTCTGACTGAAGATACTTTGTTGTCTGACCAGTAGTTCCTGCAGAGGATGTCAAGTGTCATCCATAATTTGGAGCAGTTTGCTGTAGGGCTGTGCTACTTTGTTGGGTAGTTTAATTTATGGCAATGCATTATATTATATTTGGTCATCACATGTTTGTAGCATCGCTGTAGTGTGAGAACATCTAAAATCTCTAAAACGTCAACTATTCTTAAGCCCAGAAAAACAGCCCTGTTTCCAAGTCAGTTTTAATAGTTTATTTACATACGAAGTAGGATCATTTCCCCAGCCTCACATTACAATACACTTCAGTTTATCAGAAATAAATTTTCTCATTTTTTTTTTTACAAAAAAAAAAGACAGTACTTGAGTATGTTCTACCACTGTTAAAGGGTAATTGCAGGTCACTGACAATATTTGTGTTTTGTTGTTTTGGAGACATATCCAAAATCCTTAAACCCGGACATGTAACATTTGTTAGAGGAATAATATGAAAAGTTTTATTTAAAAGCAAAAAACACACAGTTTCACAATTCAGTACACAGGGGTTTAGCTGCTACAGCCTTACTTAGTTTGGCATTCAATTCAATTCAGTTTTATTTATATAGCGCCAAATCACAACAACAGTTATCTCACAGCGCTTTTCATAAAAGAGCAGGTCTAGAGGGGGTGAGAGAGTGAGAGAGGGTGAGAGAGAAGAACAGAGAAAGAGGGAGGGGGATGGAAGGGGAGAGAGAGAGGGGAGGGAGGCAGCCTACACAATATATACACAGAGGTACAGACAGTAAAGGTGATGTTGCTGTAGACTAAATGAATAATGGTACAGAGATTTTACAGTAGTGTTAATGATAACAATCGTAATGTTAATGATTATAATAACAATAGGACTAGTAAAAATAGTTAGAGGATGTCAAGCAGGAACACGGGCGCAGCAGGTGACTCGCAACCACAGATCCAGACTCCACAGCTCCAGAGCCAGAAACACCTGCAGGCAGTCGAGTTAGTAACATCCATTAATGGGATGAGGTTGCATACAGAGGGAGAGAAAGAAGAGGAGAGAGGAGCTCAGTGCATTATGGGAAATCCCCCGGCAGTCTAGGCCTATAGCAGCATAACGAAGGGATGGTTCAAGACTCTCCTGAGCCAGCCCTAACTATAAGCTTTGGCATGACCAGTAGGGCTAATGTTAGCTGAAGTTAGCATACTATAGATAGATATTGCTGTATAACTGACCTTGCTGCGTGAGCTTGCTAACTTTATGACTCTACTTGTGCTACTGTCACGGTGTTTCAGCATTTACTATTATCCCATAATTATTACATGTGACCACGGTGACCACTGTGCGTGATTTTATATACCCTTTCACTGAACCAGAGTTGCTCAGGTTACATTATTTTCAATGCTATTGCGTCAGCCAAATATGTCAAAGTCACATATGTCCTTTCACATCTTCTGCAGTACATCCTCCCTTCATGAAGGTTCTAATGTTCAGTTTTTGTTGAATCTGTTTTAGAGGTGTTGATTTAACTTTATGGTCTTCCTGTAGGCTGGTTTGTTGCTATGTGGAATTATACCACGATCTGGCGCTAATATTTTGTCCACGCCATTGATATCAATAAATGTTGAGTTTATACATAAAGATTAATACTAATAATGAATCAACATGCACATCGCCAATATGCTGAATCCTCAAAAACAAGCAAACAAACCTCAACGATGGGCCTTCACTCCAGCTTTATGATTAATTCATGAACAGATGTTTCGGTCTGACAGCCTCTCAGTATGCAAACTGGCAACAGTGTGTCAACCAAGCATACAACATAAATTACATACATGGCAATAAAAATGAATAGTCATGGGGTTGGTTACTTTGTTGCACATAGAGCAGCAACGGCTAAATACAACAATGTAATCAAATGGTTGTGCAGTTTAGTGACGACTATACAGAAGATTGTTTATACCGGTTTCATAAATGTCTTCAAATGGTAATACAGTGGGTATGCAGGGGTCTTTTAACATCAATCCATGTGTGAAGTCTGTATTATGTGTGTGTGAAAGTGTTTAAGTGTTTAATTCTGCTGTATGCTCAGTGTCCAAGTAGCTGAATCTTGCAAAGAAGTGAAAAAGAGAAAATCTTATGTAAGAAAATTGTATAACATTTTATTTCATTGACAGCACTTCAACACAAAATTTAACTTTCCCTGTGTTTTCAAGAACTTGAGACCACAAATGAATCCAACATAAGGCAAATGAGCATGTCAGATTTTCCAGGTCAGATGAGAAAAGAAGAGTACAATCACAATCACACAGCTGTATGCATAAAACACTTGCACACACAGCACAAGTAATAATTCACTCTGGATGACCAATCTCACATACATGCTGACACCTCTATGCTGTTTACCATCAAAACATCTCTCTTCATTTTTGAGATGTTGGTCATCCTAAGAAACACTTCGACATTTGGGATGTCATCTTGTGTGATGACTTACTCAGAGCCAGATGGGAAGATTTACCTTTATCATCTTAGTGTCGCTAGCGATCTAGGATGTTTAGCACAGCTTAGCACAAAGACTAATAGAAACCTAACTAGCAAACTTGCTAGCAGCTAGATGCTAGACTGCCTTTTTAGACATTACTATAGTATCTGTATCTTCACAAGCAAGTATCTGGTATGTCTCCGAAACTATTATTCACAGTGCGCAAGCGCAACAGGCCTACTTCATACTCCAGTGGGGGGTATTTAAATTTGTGGCATGTAAAACGCACAGTCACTCTGTCACTATGGACAATGGTAAGGTTGTTCGCTGACTTGGAATTAAATTATTCAAACTAATTACTTATTTGTTGTAATTTCTTTGAACTTTTTCTATTTTAAACCTGACAGCCCTAGCACGTGTCAAATGTCCTCTTCCTGTCATGTTGCCAGGTTTACACCAGAATCTTGTCTCAGATAGAGAGCCTAAGTCACTCACTTCTGCTTCCGGCTCATGGGACCTTATTTCGGAAAAAATATGTACAGTAGTCAATGGCGAGAGATAACTTATCTTTTATCCCGTTAGAATTTAGCCCTGAATTACACATATGTTGTTGGTCGATTTAAAATATAATTTTGCAAGTCAAGAAAGTTGCATTTTGTCGTAAAACAGAACAGTTACATGTCCTTTTGTGTGAAAACTGTTAAACTAACTACATCTCGTTGCGCACAACATACGTCACTAACATGTTAGCGCGGGAATGCTAGCTAACGTTCATTGCTTTCTTGCTACTAGCTGGATTACTTAAATATGTTCCACGCAGAAATATATCTCATCTGATGGGTTTAATCCAATGACTCTCAGTCCTTTCATCACATCATCCTCTCATGTAAGTTTTTTGATGTTAGCTTCAGAAACGTTAGCTTCAGTCATTGACAGAGCCAGTTATGACGTCACATACGCAGTTTTTGGGTTTGTGGTCTTATACCTCAACAGTTTTACATCAAACTGCAACTTTCTTGACTTTAAAATGGATCTTTTAAATGGACAAACATATGTGTAATTCAGGGCACAATTCAAACGGGATCAAAATATTTGTTGTCCCTCGCCATTGACTACCGTACAATATTTTTCCAAAATAAGGTCCCATGGTGGTCCACTGGAAGGGGAGGGACTTAGGCTCTCTATTTTGGGCCCAATCCGAAACGGAACTGTAGGAAAAACATCCCTAACTTGACGTGTATAAATTAATTAGCAAAAATGAAGCCTAAGCTAGGTATTATACAGGTTGACATGCAGACTCAAAACCTAAGAATGGGATGGGACTGCACCCGTACTTAGACAGAATATAATTTGCACATAGCACGACAGATGGCTCAGGTCGATGAACCAAGTGAAGTGAAGACCTCGGGTTTGCACACAGTCCTCACACTGCTGTCAGAAGTAACTTCTGGAGCTGACTCTTGCATTTGTGATAAGTTTGCTAGCTATCAAGAAAAAACATTTAAAATTTGGAGTTGTTGAAAGTTTTATTGTTCCATGTTGTACTGAGGCTAACAATTGTGCTGTGGTCCAGTCTTAGTGCTAAGCTAGGCTAAACCCTTTGCAGGTTGGCCTGGATGTACAGAGATACCCTGATATCAATCTACTCTTGTAAGCAATGAGCAAACCTACACAGATTTTTCCCAAACTGAGTGTTCCTTAAGTATTATGGCACAACTTGTCTATGCACACCGACAAAATAACCATTCAGAAGTCGGTTAAAGCATATCTCAAACTGGCACTGCATATGAATGAAGCACGAGTAGTCCACATTTTTACACAATCAATCAAAGAGCACATGTCACTGTTGCACCAAAAATAATACAGAGAACATCTAGCACAATCTTCATCATCCACTATTATTATTGTTTTCCAAAGTTATGTTTTTTTGAAACAGCCAACACAAAGGACAGCATTGTGCCAGTCTCTTAGCAACAATGACCTGAAGATTAACACCATCTACAAAACTGAAATCAGGGAAGCATTAGACCTTAAAGTTAAGGTTACTAAAATGCATACAGTAAAAGTATATTTGAAAAAAGTAGACTACACAATAACAGTGTTATACTGAATACTGACACAATGATTCCGACTGATCTTTAGGGAGAAACACACTGGTCATCTGGGTACTGCTTACAGTAGATAGGGTTCTTGAGGTAATCACTTCAGGGATAAACAGACAGTAAAGTGTTCATTTTATTTCGGAAAAATTAGAAGATATCGGATTTTTAAACAATCTACCATAGAAACCAATTGGGAGCTCACAATAAAAACAATTAAAACACTACATTTCCTATTATTACTGTATGCAGACACACACACACACACACACACACTCTCACACACTCTCACACACTTATTTAGTCGTATTTCCATGTGTACAGTACACTAAACCACGAAACAACGTTCAAATGTAGGCATTATTACACAGATACTGTGGCTTACATTCACATAGTTTCTCTGAATGGGTGAGGAGTGTATGCTTCCTGTGCTCCACAGATGGCGGTGGGGTCAGGTGGGAAACTACAGGCAAAAAGGGAGGCACATTCCTCTCCTGAGGCAGAGGAGTAAGGGAGGACTTTTTTTTAAAAACGTTTCCCTTTTTAATTTATTTTAATTTTTTATGACAGACTCTCACACCTCTTCAGCAAAGAATCCGGGGGCCTGGGGTAGTAGCCGGTGGTGCAGGGCTTGTCGGGAGAAAACCTGGGGAACTTGTAATCCAAAGGGAGATCTAGAACGAGAAAAATCAAATAGTAAAGTCACCTGCAAGTTAACCAGTGCTTGTACCAGGTACATTTACTGCACCACTGTTGCAGTTGCAGCTGCAACAATACAGATTTATCAGTGGAAAAGCACATATTGTTATAAACAACAGGCAGTAATCACTAAAGCTGATGATACACGGAGCAACTTTTAGAGCAATCGTGCAGGGCAATGTTGCTGTCAATGGCAATGAGTAAAGATTACTACCGTAATCAAAAAACAATTGTAATTACAGGCCTGCAAACTCAATTTTAACATATAAATGAAGCATTCTAGTCCACTTCGAGATTAACATTAAAGAAAAAAGATTCAGTTTTGGCTTTAAAAGAAAAATAAAATTCATTTGTTCACAGTACAGCTACTGTGGGTATCTCACAAAAGGCCAAAAGAACATTCTTCATCCATCCTCTGCAGACAGCGATGGACTCATTCTGTATTATGTTAAAGTGCATAATTTATTCTGTCTTTTGGCCTAGACCAGGATTTTAAGTTCTCATCATCAAAAGGTGTCTCTTCTGAGACAGCAGAGAGTGGCCAGTCAAGAAATGAGGTTCCTTTAGGTATATTTATGAATAAATGATATTTACTTAATTATTCAGTAAAACTATGTTATTGTGACTTGGCCACTGACAGGTAACATGGAAAATGTAAGCCAAGAGTGTGAAACACTGTCACTGTTTCTGCACCACAGTCCATTATAAATCACACATTAGATAAAGTTTATACAAACACTGAGAAGGGAAACACATTCATCCTCTCTGTGATTATGGACCCTCGCCAAAACTGCCAAACAAAAAAAAATATGAATAAATAAATACTTTGATAGCAGTGCTTAAATAGATCTCAGTCATGATAGCAACTGAGAAACATTTGCGGCAGAATCCGTTTGTTTAAGAGAGAAAAAAAAAGTTGTGCCGGGGTGGGATCGATGGAATTCAACATTGTGATGAGTGTCTGAATAAGAAGAATGTAGTGACGAAACGCGTTCTGTAGCGCTGTTTGACGGTTTTCAGCTACTGTAGCAACATGACAATGCAAAGTGGTGACTGGGGGAGCAGCGGTTATGCACACATAATGGTTTGTTATGTAAGGTCTTTGTACACCACCGAAAACATTATTATGGATCTTATATTGCATTTCTGACGATAGATCCTCAGAAATATTACACACTGGACCTTTACATTCTGCACCGGGAAATATACAATTTCCACGACAAACATCAATAGTGACAATCTTGTCACTGTCAGCAAGAAATCCATGACATCAAAATGGAGATTTCCTGCCAACCACACCTACACCTGACCTTTGAGGGAAGTACTAGACAAACTCAACATTGCAACAACAGCACACAAAAGTGAAAGCAGACAAACACGGTTAGGGGGTACTAGGACAATTTCACCCAAATTCAGACTCAACCAAATGATCCCAGTGTGAAAAAAGCTCTAAGCACATTGTTATATGAATACTGGTACCATTTTCCCAGGAAATACTCTGCAGCAGTGGTGGTTAAGAGTTCATTCTAACTTTGGCTCCACATCTGTGTCTGGTTCAGTCCCTTCAGTTCAATTTTCTTGTGAATGTTTCTATGTTGAGAGAATGTTTGATGTGGGAATAGAGATTTTTAACAGCTGAAAAATAGTTTTTTCCCCTGTTTTTTCACCAGTTTAATTCTCAGTCATGTTCTATGTACCGTATGTGTGGTAGGTGAGCCTGTTATAGGAATACCTGGAGATATTTACCGCCATTTTGAATTTTCTCCAGTTCAGTTTTCTCCCCCTACAAATTGTGAGCAATCCGCACCAAAATTTTCACATAGCAAATCTGGACAAATTCAGAATTTTTCCGGATTTTTTATATTCCATACGGTTTTGAAATGATACATTTCTAAACCTGTGTCTTTAAGGTAAATTTTAAATAAAGTCATAAATCAAAATTGGCGTAAGATATTGTAAATTAGTTTTGTGTGTTCTAATGCTAGGTCAGAGCAAAGTCCTAAGATATTCTGGCACTAGGGGGTTCAATTCATTGTATATAGATTGGTCATGATTGGCGAAAAGTGGAGTGGTTTATGAGATGGTGGTGTGCAGTGATATTCAGTACCTTGCTGTAATTTCTACGGTATGCACATTTTGTTTTCTGCTCAGTGTTGGATAAAACGTCACCAAAATATTTTACAATACCCTGAAACACAGCAGAATGATGTGTGATTTTTTTCAGAATTTTATCTCCAACATTTTGACTGTTTTAAGAGTTTAAACAGACAAAGTACTAGTTTTGCACATGTGATGTCATTTCCTCTTGTTTAAAGGTGAGCGGAAACCATGTCTCCCCATTGATGCGGTCAGTAAGGTAACTTCCCTGGGGATATGAGGGTCCAGGGTTAAAATCCCAAGATGGCCAAGTCCTACTTGCCAAATTTGTAGCAATTCAAGTTTTCCAGTACTTAATGAGGTCATATGAAGTTGAAAGTTGCCTATTGCAACTCTGTGAACATTTCTTCTTCTTATTATTATTTTTCACTGCTAAAAGTAAAAAACTAAGAATTAGAGACACCAAAATTAGCAGGTGGACTGAAAATTCCAACCACTATTGTCCACCCATTTCCACCCACTGCTATTGTCAAGTTTATGTTTCCGCAGTTATCAGTTAACAGCTTGGCTTAGAGTCAAAATTCATAATTTTTAGCAATTCCCCACCCAATTTTCTAAAAGCCTATTTTCATCTCTCATCAGTCGCAAAGCTCAGAAAGGATAATTTACAGACTTTACTGATCTGAAGTTGTTAAAGTAATTTTAATATATCAGTGAGTTTCAGTTATACTAGGCAATTTACACTCACCGGCCACTTTAGTAGGTACACCTGTTCAATTGCTTGTTAACACAAATAACTAATTAACCAATCACATGGCAGTAAGTCAATGCATTCAGGCATTTATCAGAATGAGGAAGAAAGGGGATTTAAGTGACTTTGAACGTGGGATGGTTGTTGGTGCCGGACGGGCTGGTCTGACAATTTCAGAAACTGCTGATGTGCTGGGATTTTCCACACACAGCCATCTCTAGGGTTTACAGAGAAAAAGTCTGATAAAGAGAAAATATCCATTCTACAATTCACACAGGCTCATCAAAACTGGACAATAAATGATTGGAAAAACGTTGCCTGGTCTGATGAGTCTTGATTTCAGTTGCGACATTCAGATAGTGGGGTCATAATTTGGTGTAAACAACATAAAAGCATGGATCTATCCAGCTTGTATCAACGGTTCAGGCGGCTGGTGGTGGTGGTTGGTTAGTACCAACTGAGCATCGTTTAAACCCGACAGCCTGCCTGAGTATTGCTGCTGACCATGTCCATCCCTTTCTCACCACAGTGTACCATCTTCTGATGGCTACTTCCAGCAGGATAATGCACCATGTCACAAAGCTCAAATCATCTCAAAGTGGTTTCTTGAACAGTGAGTTCACTGGACTCCAACGGCCTCCACAGTCACCAGATCTCAGTCCAATAGAGCACCTTTGGGATGTGGTGGAACGGGAGATTCACATCATGGATGCAGCTGACAAATCTGCAGCAACTGCGTGATGCTGTCACTGAGGAATGTTTCCAACACCTTGTTGAAAGTATGTCACGAGGAATTAAGGCAGTTCTGAAGGCAAAAGGGTACTAGCAAAGTACCTAATAAAGTGGCCGGTGAGTGTATTTTTTTCAAAATATCACGTAGTCGTGTGAAACACGTCTTTACTGAAGGTCATAAGCTACATGGAATGTTTCTGAAAGCAGATTTATATATCTTAACAAAGCATCAGCATGCAGTGATGACCACGATTAATTATTGTAAAGAAAATCAAGGGCTGTGCTTCTTGTCAAGCATCCAAATGCTCGTAGTCTGCTTGGACCCTGTCATTTCATTATTATATGGACCTGTTTTCTTTTCTCCATCAAACCATTGCACATCTGTCACACTGTGCAACTTTGTTAAGCGTGTTGTCTACTTCCACATACCTGCTATGTGCTCCACACTAGGGATGGCCATGGTGCTGTATTTGTGAATGCAGTTACAGCACCAGGTCAGTTTCTGGTTCTCCTCATCCCCTCCTTCGCTTCTATGTACGTCGACAAAGTAGGAGCCCCACTGCTTGGACACAGCAGAGGGTGACTTCATGCCCTGCTCCTGTTGAGGCAGTCAACACACAAACCAAACTATGTAACTGTGTGTAAAGATTCATTCTCAGACATGTGCAGACCTGATAAAAGGAGGTGGGAATTCTATGCTGTGCCCTGGGAATATAACAAGACTTCAAACAGGCTTTAACCCAAACAGGTTTGGGGGTTATTTTGACTACTCATAATCACTCATACAATATCACTAATAAACACTTCAGGCAGAAAGTGCTGCGACTGTCACAACAGGATGTGGTGTTTATAAGGATGTGATAAGATGCAAACCCCACAAAATGAAAAGATAAACTAGTGCTTTGCACAGTATCAGCTACTGTCATTTGAAACTGTGCAGAGGAATCTGTGATCATCATGTTGTCATGGAGATTTGTACGAAATATTTCTAAATATAATAGTTGTAAAAGGAACCGAAAAACAGAACAAAGTAGGACGGCTTACGGTATTTCTGAAGATGTGGAATTAAAATCAGGATGCTGAGGAATCTGACCAAATTTAACCCAGATGACAGTTCTTGAGCAAAATGCACTGCTTATTTGTCTGCCTACAGTACCTCCTCTGCAGTGCATGTATGGGAATTAGAACACTGCAGTGTTACTGTCATGCACCATCAGGTTGGGTATTTCAGATAGTGCTGATAAATGAAAAGCCACAGGAAGAGGAAGTCATGTTTCTCATCACTATTAAGATTTAATCTGTGTCAGTAATGTTGTTCTAGTTTAGTTACTGCACTGCGGTTCAGACTGTGGGCCCTGCACAACGCTTCACGTGGTGAAGCGTTGTGCAGGGCTTGTACTACAGAGATACTCAGCACATGATTTTTTAGCTTTTCCAAAATCAAAACACAAGAGCAAAGGGGTAAGGAATGGGTTAAGCAGTGCGTTTATCATATTCACATCCATTTCCCACTGCTTATCCGGGGCTGGATCGCGGAGGCAGCAGACCAAGCAAGGTAGTCCAGAGATCCCTCTCCCCAGCAACGTTTTCCTTGGGGATCCAAAGGATTTTGATGTTCCCAAACTAGAAGAAATACCAGTTGGACATGCTCAGAATTGGAAAACCTCCAAAGGGAGCCGCCTAGGAGGCAAACTAATCAGATGGCTGAACCAGTTCAACTGACTCCTTTCAACATGAAAAAGCAGTGGCTCAGATCACAGGGTTTCGACAGAGCACAACAGCCTTTGTTAGTCCTCTATATTATGGGGAAAAAAAGAGGCCTGCTCCTGGTCCTGGTGTTTCTTACCAAAGGTTGTGCTGACTGCTCACTTTCTAACTTATCAGGAACATCCTGATGGTTAAAATCACTCAAAATCACTATTACATTGTTGGACTCGTACTGAATAGTTCAAACAAAAGGATCAAAGTTGATGCAGCAGATACTATCTTATTTATTTCACAGCCTCTTCTTCCTTGTCAAAACCTGGCACTACATTACACACAATGCAACTTTGATGCTAGTAGAAGTTAATGAAGCCTCCAGCAGAGATGAGGATCAGGCTACAGAGGTCTGATAAGCCCAGCTCTTTATAAATCCACTCCTCCTGATTTTAGTCTTCAGCCCCATCTGACGCTCCAGTGACATTACTTGAGGACATGCAGCACAGCTCCCTCTGGAGCCACAAAAGGCTTTATACAACTTTTTTTCACATATGCAGTAGTACTCCTGTAAAAAGACTTGTGTAAATCAGCAGATGTCCGCTGTAATGTGTCATTTCTACATGCTGGAAGTTAAATGGCTGATATGTTGCACATACTGCCTTCTAGCACATCTATAACATAAACTTGTGGCAACATGCTTGATTTTACATGTTTCTTCATCACATGTGACAGTGTCAAAACTTACCCATGATGCTTTTAGGGAGCCAAAACACATAAAAATTTACAGGCACGGATCAAGTAACACAAAGGGTATGGTGGCATTAGGCCAGAGGAAGGGGGAAGGGGCTCACAGAGTTGGGGGCGGGGGAACGGCTACTAAACGGAAACAGCTGCTTCGGTGAACGTACCTCAAACTTTCCCTTTTTCTCCAGAGGCTCCACTTGGGCCTCATTTGACATCGCCGCGTCACTCTTCGGGACACCCTCCCCCTCCATTTCCTCCACGATCATCACTGTCTCCCACTTCCCAAAACTGCTGGCAGGGAACATGTCCGACCGCATGCTATCTCCAAAATACACTACCTGCAGGGTGAAGGGAAAAAAGAAGGTGACTGAGAGACAGCTTGATTAATTTCAATGGTTACAAAATAGTTTGAGTGTTGTGGTAAAGGTGCACTTCTCTTAGCAGCAGTCAAAGTCAGCTGGGAAATCTCTTATGGACCCCCAGGCTGAACTAGTCCAGACACGAGAGTCTGCAAAACTCATCACAACACCTTTGACCATCGCTTGACCATCTCTTTTGTCCTCTACGTCTGGAAAGAAAAGCAAGCTGAGGCACGCTTTACTGAGCAACCCTAAACAGAAATGCAGGCGCACGCAGCTCAAAGCTTCAAATTTCAACAACCATTTATTTTTATTCCGGTCAAATGGGAGAGGAAATGGAGAATGCAGGAGATTAAAATGACAAGACACAGACGTCTGCTGAAACTCTGAACACAGGAAGGAGGCTTTACAGTAGGAAGTGGCTAAAAAGTGAAAGACCAGAGCCCAGTTCACAGGAATACTGGAAAATTAAGATTTATCTATTTAAGTATAATGCTTAGAAATGTATCCATGTGTAAGTGCAAGGGATCATTAAACGAGTTGGCTGTTGACATGTATCATTACTGGCATGACTTCACTGGTGTACCTGAAAAAAGCAGGATCATTCTGGGGGTCAGCAGCATTCAGTATTTTTGCATTAAGAATGGATGTCATGATTCGTCAAGCGCAGACACAAGAAAACAAGGGATTTGGACCCAAAGGACAGAGGGACACCAGGCAGAGCAGATACAGTTTGTAGTGTTTATTTAGAATAAAACGAAAGGTGAACAGGCATATGCAATGTCGAGGCAGGCTGGAGTCCAAAACAGGTAAGCAGGGTAGTGTCTGGGGAACTAAAGAATAGGGCAGGTGATCAAAGTCCAAGTCTATCCGGGTGGGTGGAGGGGGTTTGTAGGAGGGATTCAGTGTCCAGGGAGCTGAGTAGCGGAGATTAAGTGTTCACTGATGGATGACCAGAGGGCTGGACAGGGGCAGAGCAGAAGTCCTCAGGCGTATGGCAGGACAGATCCGGAGCTAGGGACTTCAGAAGGGTGGCCGGGGGCAGGACTAAAGCGGAGCTGGAGACCTCAGGCAGCCTTGAGGAGACAGGGAAGGCGGTAACTCTGGAGACTGGCGGCGAAGTGACTGGAGATTAGGACCGGAGTCTGATGGCTAGAGTGCGGGACCAGAGGCACTCTAGCCCTCAACAGCAGGAGGGGGTGGGGGGAGCTAAAAGAGGCTAGAATGTCTGTAAAGCTGAGGGGAACTGCAGAGTGATAATTCTCTGTGGGTACATCACAACGAGTGACTCACATCACATAACAACAATCTCATATTCAGGTTGTAGCTTGAGGCTGAAAATTGTAATATTTCTGTTTTTTTCCCCAACAAAAGTCAATATCCCATCCTAATGAAATCTGAAGAGCTGAACCCTGCATTCAGGTTAACGTATGTGTGTGCAACTCAGCTGTCACGTTCTTTATCACCAGGTGAAATCTTTAGGACACCGCATCTGTTAAACACAAGTAGGGACGACACTCTGCCTGTTTGTGTGCGTATGTGCGTGTGAGACTTAACTAAATCAAACCTCTCTACAGCAGTCAGGAGACCATAAAGAGGATGTAAAGCTGCGTCTCTCCCCTTCCCCTCAAAGAGCTGTCCTGTGTCTCAGGCTGGCCCTTCCACATGTAAACAAACTGATGGGCTAAAAAGGGGCTTCTGCGGGCCAGGCCTGTGGGGCGGAGGCTGCAGGAATCCCTATTCCACCAGACTTTCCTTAAAGTGCCCACAGCTGGTCTTCGTACCCCAGTGGACCTCTCATTGCGCAACACAGCTGCCAGAGTCATGGGATCACTATGAATATTTACAGAGGCCAAGGATTCCAGCGCAGTGGCAACATATTATAGAAGAGATTCACTGTGGACGGATGCAGAAACTTTAGCCTGAACCAGACTGAGCTCTGCATGAGAGTAAGCACCACAGGGTGTGAATCAAAATGCAGACACTTCTCTTTTACTTCAAAACATATCCACACAGGAAGACACTCTTTATTGGTTGTGAATGTGCCCCCCCTCCACGTTTCCTTGCTTAGTTTTACTCAATTCCTGGATACCTATGGGATCGTGGTTATGTTATCTGATCCCAAAGACACTTAATAATTGAGCCAAGATAGCCTAATATTGCTGTTTTACATAACTTCAAACACCATTTACATTAAAAAAAGAGTTCCCCAACACTACTGTATCTCTGAATGTTCTCTTTAACCAAATCACCAATTCTATGTGATGTTCTTTTGATAACTAATGTAATTCAGTCAGGACATCTTTCATCAAAGAACCAGCTCTGTTCTGCGAGTGCACACCTCTCTGACCTTCCACGTGCCTGCATGGAAGCCCGAGGCAGAGAGCAGCAGTAAAGACCCCCCCCCCCACCACCACCTGAAAGGAAGAGCTGGGGTGGCGGTGGGTTACAAGCTGCCTGAGGAAGCAGCAAGGGGAAGGCATGTTATGGCAGCTTAAATAAGGCACCTTGTATGGAATGAATGCTAAGAGAGGAATCAGCTGAGATGTCAGCTAATGTGGTTTGCTTTAAGACAGCTGTTATCAAATGATGTGCTGCCATTGTGAGCTGAGCTTCACTTGGTTGCCTGCCTCAACTGACGCTACGCTTGATTGACTAATTTAGTATTGTTTCATGGGTAAGGGATTCCACCAAGAATCACACCAGATTTTTTTTTGCATGGGCCGATAACGAGCTGGGACTGTTACTGAATGTAACACGGGACTGTGGCGGCGGAAAACAGACTGAGAGTCGCTGCAAAGTAAACGGCGACATGCACAGTGCAAGTGTAGGCTATAGTGTTATTTGCATGGTCGGAATATTTTAATAAAAATACCAAGTCAAAAACTTTGTCAGTAGCATCGTGTGTCTGCTTTGCATGACTTATGAGACCCAATCAGAGAGCCATGCATGAGCGTGTCATTGTTTCTTAAGTCCTCTGTTTTGCCCGTCTTCATTAAAACGGGCTCAGGAGTTTCAAAACAAAAACGAGGTCGGCAGCGTTTTCAAACTTCTCCGTTTTAGGTCTTTGTTTTCGCCGTTTTAGTCTGGACGGGAGGTGCAAACATAGCAAAAGGTCTCCGTTTTAAAACGAAAATGCACTAGTGTGGATTGGGCCTGAGCCTCCCCTCTTAAACTGTTTGGAGCCCCCCTGGAGAGGCCCTCCTCACACAATCTCTGGCATAGAGCACTCTGTCGATTTTCAAAATAAAACACCCAGGGCAGACTCTCAATCGTATCTCAACAATAAACACAATGAAAAGAGACAAAAAAGAAACAATTTCACTATGCAGCCTATGTATCCACGGTAGAAGCACATAAATCAAGGAAAAATCAACAAAATCTGAGCAAGTTCTGAAACGTTCTTGGTGGGGTATGAAACTGTGCTGAGGACAGAACATGCCGTCATTGAGCCATGCCTGCTGGAATCAAGGAGGAGAAAATGTTATCAAAACTTTTCCAGGTAGGGTTGGGAACCAAATAGTGGACATGGCAAAGTGCAAAGCGTTTAAAGCACCGGCGGCGGTGATCTGAAAGAATGTTCAGTGTTTGATGTCTTGTGGTTTCCAAGCCCGAGTCTGTCACGAGCCAGCACTGGCACCTGCAGTAGAGCCAGAAATACCAAGCTCGGCACATGGTTCTCTTTGGCAATAATGGTGAAGAAGACTTCACATGACACATAACTGACATATTGATAATAAGTTTAAACATTAATATTTGTATTAACGATCTAAGCAGCTTAGAAGCAGCTAAAGCAATATCAAAATCAGAAGCTATGTGGTTGCAAATACCCCAGTAGTTATTTGTGATGATACCACTTTGAGAGGGGAAACTGTCTATGTCCTGTTTAGCACAATTCATACACAAGGGCAGTTGAATGTGCTTCACAGGGTAAAGCAAAAACAAAAAGTGTCGATAAATGGCAATAGTAAAATATTTACAGTTTTAAAAAGAGCAAAAGTACAGATACAAGAGATTAAAGTAATATAAAATGAATGTTGTAACTCTTGGGACAGCCATTAGGCTAGTCCCAGATGTCCTAAGGGTTCTCGGAGGTTTTCAGAGATATATTTGGGCACAGAGCCTCAGAGTGATTTGTAGACAAACAGCAAGATTTTAAAGTCAATTCTCTGAGTGACTGGTAGCCAGTGTAATGGTTTTCGTCAGGACCCTGGCAGCGGTGTTCTGAATCTGTTGCAGTTTCTAATGTACTGTATTTATTTCAGCCAAGTGGTTACCCCACTTGTCAGGCTGCCATTGTAAATAAGAACTTGTTCTTAATGACTTGCCTGTAAAAATAAAGAATAAAAAATAAAGAAGAGTTTATGAAGAGCCTTTTTTGAAAGCTAGTATAGATAGAAATGTAGTAGAATTTAGTACTAAGAAGGTGTTTGAATTTATATCAGTCACCCCTATTTACAGGGAGAAATGCCCAAATGTCAAATAATTGCTGCAAAATATGTCTCCTCATGCCATGAACTGAGGACAACCAGTGGAAACTCAGACTGATAAATAATTGTACTAACTTTCAAATCATTATTATTTTGATTGCCTGATATTTTATTAATTGTTTTGTTTTTAAATTTCACATTTGATACATTTACGGTTTTATCTATTTATTTTATTTTAAATTTTAATTTATTTTTATTTTTTAACACACAAACGCTTACTGTTTTATTTATTTATTTTAATATATTATTTTAATTTTCTAACACACACACACATGCTTACGGTTTTATTATTTATTTTATTATTTATTTATTTACTTTTGTTTTTAACATTTATTTTTACGGAATTTTTATATTTTATATATTTTTTAATTTATTTTTTTATTAACACACACAAACTTTTACTTTTTTATTTACTTATGTAATGAAATGTATTAAATTAATTGTTTAATTTAATTGTTAATTGTTTATATTTAATTTATATGTAAATTAAATATAAACAATTATTTAGCAATACTGTAATTATACATTCATGCCAAAAAAGCTGATTTGAATTGAATAAGGCAGATTTGGAAGATGTCAGGAAAGGAGGTAGGTGCTTTATCCACTATGACTAATCATCACTATACAGACAGATATGATGTATATATTTATGTATAGAAATATGATGTGGAAAGTTACAGGGGAATACATACTATATTTAAAATTTCCAGAAAGAGCTGCCCCACTGCATTATAAAAAGGTAAGGAATTCTGACCAGGAGATTTACCTTGTTTCCTCCCTGTAGGGGCTTTGTGTAGGTCATTTGAAGTGAAAGGTCTGACTAAATCCTCCGACTCCTCCAGAGAAAGGGAGCTCAGGCCATCCAGGAAGTACTTACATTTGTCACTGTCCAAATTAACTTTTGAGGTCTATATGGAATGCAGAGTGACTCTTTTTTTGTTTTTTATTTAAAAACTTTTTCAGAAGATCAAATGTATGTATGTATTTAGAACATTTCTACAGTTTCAAAGCTAAAAGGTGACTGGAAACTTGAGGTATTTATTAAGAAGTCATCCACCTGTTAAACAAAGTATTACCCACGTTTTCATTGGCTTGCTGAAAGAATGTCACAATCAGACATCAACTGCGAGAGCCCTGAATCCAGACCTGTCTGTTACTAATGTAAACGACACACCTCAGAATGATCAGGCCTGAACCGCCATGATCAAGACCCATCAGCTCCACCATGACCTCATCAGTTTCAGCCCTGTGCTGAAAGGGAATTGTTACCTTCCCTGAATGGCTCTATTCAGCCCACCAGCATTAGGTCCTGTCAGGTGAAAGTGGAGACAAGTGAAAACACTGAGTGCCTCAGGTCACCCCGGAGTAGTGTTTAAAGCAGCTATAAGTGCAGGTTGACACTAAATTCCACGAGAGCTTTCTCCACGTGGCTGGGGAACAGAGGGGGCATTGAGCAGCGGCCTGGGAGGAAGGAGAGGGACGTGGACAATGACGGGTACTGCTGGGCGGACTTCAGCTGGGCCGGTGCAGCTCTGCCTGTGACTGATCTGTCGCCTTTCCTTTTACTAGTTAGTCCTGTGGGATACTGCAGTACCTACAAGTTTTACTGTATTCTGAAATGTCACCGTTATCAGAAAAAGTACCTGCTAAAAGCTGTGGCTGGTAGCTGGATAAAAGTGAAGTAACATTCACTGGCAACTTCTTGTTTAAGTACACAGTACCACCCGAAAGTGGCACAGCAATGAATTTGTATGTATGTATGTTGATACACACATAACATACTGTATGTAATATGTAATATTTCAATTTAGAACACAATAAAGAACAATAAAAATGATTAAAACAATTGTCTGAATTTGGGTCTGGGTGAATGAAAACAGCAGCAAAAAGACAGTGTTGACCACATTTGAGCCCCAAGTTTCAGTGATGTACACATGAAGTCCGCCTCCCCTCGTCTTGTGTTCTGTCGACACGGAACATGGTCTGCCAGCCGAGCGCAATAGATTGATCTGGGATGTTGTGACAGAGCCAGGTCTCTGTAAGATGTGGGCCTGAGTCCCTTTTCATGCATCCCATTTTCCTGCGACTGGACATTAGCCAGGAGCAGACTGGGTAGCGGAGGAGTCTTAAGTCCAGCTGGGTTAGCTTAGCTCTTATCCTGGCTCTCTTGCCTCTCTTCCTGGGGCGGTCACAGGAAGGATGATTAACCGTGTCCTACTGTAACTCACTTTCAGGTTTGTTTGTGTCTGTAAATGGGCACTGTGCATTTCCATCCATGATTAATGGTGGAGGATTATACCTTGTAAGACTTGATCTCAGACCTTGGGGTTGGAAGAAGAGGACTTTGGTGCAGAATTTTAAAGTATTACAAATGAGTTGTTTATATGGCTGTCAAATTAAATTCTAATCTTTGCATCATCTGGCAGACACAATTGTTTATTTTCACTTGAAAAAACAGTGGCTTAGATGAGTGGTTCTTAAATGTTTAGAAACTGGACTGCTACCACAAAAAGCCATATGCCTCGCCAAGTACCTTCTACTGACTGTCTAATGTGAGGTTTTGTGGCTGGCTCATAATCAGACTGCTGAAGGGCGTCACTTGTGTTGTGTTTAAAATCAGTGCGGTCATAAGGGATCAGATTAAGGATAGGAAAATATAGTTAGCTCACGAGACGTGGAGATGCACCATATCGGTGTCACGAGAACAAGATGTGACGAGATAAAAGTATTTTCTGGAAATCCTTCATGCTGAAATATAATTGAACAGGGGGGTGGGGGGGTCCTCCCCCAGAAAATTTAGGACATTAAACACTTAATTTCCTATATTCTGGTGAATTTTCTGCATCAATTTCTGCCTTTCCTGCATCAAATTACGGTGAAAATGTTTTATTGATGTGAAGGGAAACACTAAATTGAGGTGACAGGTGAAATTTTAAACTAAATATATTACAGAATATTATGCAGTAACGCTCTCCCTCTGTGTTGCTTTCCGATCTGTTTCTTCTGTAGATCAACTGCCCTGCTCCCTGCTCTTCCCTCCTCTTTTGTCATGTTCACAGGGAGAGAACAGAAAATTTGGTGGTTTTTGGGTCATTTTACAATCAGTAGCTTGTTTTCTCCAACTTAAAAAAAATAAACAAGTGCAACTAAACCTTTCTCAAAGCACTTTCATTTGTTATTTAACATTTGTTGTTGCAAGCTATTTTGAAAGCATTTGTTAAAATGCTTTAAAAAGTGTTGGGGACACCGATGCCGACACGTTTCATCCTGTTGACGTTAGCCTACATTACATTAAGGTTGCTGCCACTGGTCTCCATAAATGAACAATTAGCTTAGCTAACATTATTGGTTAGTAACAGAAGGCTAGGGTATAGACTTGGCAACCTTACTGTTTCTGACAAGACAGTTAACATTGTAAGCTAGCTTACTTCTGTCTTACATCAGGCATACCTCCCGACAGACAGTTCGTCTTTTACTGTCCCCATGTGTTCAGCTGAACCCCCCCCAGTGGGGAGAGCTGGCTGCACTGTTTGGCCTGATGTATCAGTGAACTTGCCAGCATGTTGGCACACAGCAGTCCTGTCGACAGTTATGCCAAGGGCCACATTCCTCCTCCCCATCACACCAGTGTGAATCTCCCTGAGCTGATTTATCATGATGCCCTCATCTCTTTCAGCCTCTGCCAAAAAACAAAGTTGTAGTCAACCTCAAAGCGAGCCTAAGATGTTCAGCCAGACGTCCGGCTGCTGCTCACTCCAGTAATATAGGGTACGAGGTGGCGGCCTACCTTGGGCTCTGGTTTCCCCGTCATGGTCTTGAGCAGCTCGTGCAGGTGCGGCCAGTTTCCCTGGGAGTACCAGCCGGGTTTATCCAGCGACGGCAGCCCCTCGGCCTCCTCCACGTCGCTCACTGGAGGAGAGGAAACAGAATCAGACACCACAGTTTGACCAAACAGCCAGCTGCTACATGGCCACACAGTCTCTGGTCCTCCGGCACCAAACCTCGTCAGCTAAACCTCACCACAGCACTCACCAGCAGGCCCACAAGGAAACAGAACAGCAGTGTGAACTATATGGACCCTTGATTCCCTCAGGGCCTCTCAAAAGGCAAATATCAGGGGTGGACATGATTAACATTAAAAAATACATTAAAAAACACAATAACATTTTTCCCGCCCTGCTCTAATCTTTTTATATCCAGAGAATTTCTGGATAATTTAACCTCTACAGGCCAATTAAAACTATTCAAATAAAAAAAGTAATGTTTTAGATAAACACTTGCATAACCTGCAAAATGGGGCCACAAATTGCACAGCTTCAGTCAATTTAAATGGTTGGAAACACAAACTAAATAATTTAAACACAAAAACAGGGGAGTGCAACTGGTATTAATGTATTGTTATTTTAGGAACTGCTGTTTTAATGGTACACCTTTCTTTCATTGTGTCTCTATTCCCCAATCTTAATAAGCAGTGTTCATCAGATTTATGGACTACATTCATCCAAACTTCCGCGGTCAACAAAAGAGCAGAGAACCCCCCCGAAAATATGCCATCCGGCACGGTAACATTAAAAGGGTAAAAATGTAATGCTAGCATCTATGTGTTTAAATTCTGTCAGCAGGAATTATTAATTGATTAATGTAAGCTGTCAAACATGGAATTCTTCTGGGCAGCTGTGGCTTGGATGTAAAACTAATCAGAGGATAAGCGTTTCAATCCCTGGCTCCCCCCAGCCCGCATGTCAAAGTGTCCTTAGGCAAGATACCACTTTGATTCTGTGTGTTTACTTTATTCAGGGTGGTCACTCCCCGTGTCTGAGCTGTTGTTGATCCGTACTGTGTCCCAGCAGCCGTCACCTAATCTCGGCAGTGGAGGGAAAACCAGGCTGAGAGTGAAAGCAGAGCAGCGGGGACTGGTCCGTCCAGACCCAGCATTGCCCCTCTTGTCTCAACCGCACTATGCAGCACGTGTCAGCCAGGAACACTTCCAAAACCTCACATATACTCTCCAGAAATGTCGTAGACATGCATTCAGCCATGCAGAACACCCAGTCATTCTGAGCTCATGAATAATGACTGAGGGGTTTCCAACTGTTGGCTCCAAGTTTTATGTTTGCTCAGAAGAAAAACTGATTCACTGAGATAAATCCAGAAAGGTCCAGCTGAGAATGAAAATGTATTTATTTAAGTTAATGAAAAAAAGATGTATACACAAGACTAGAGTCTGCAGCCATGATAGCTGAAGCCCTTGAAGCTGAGTGCTTTGAGCTAAATGCTAATGTCAGCATGCTAACATACAGTGAAAATGTAAATAATAATGTAAAATGCTGATTTTAGCAGGTAATGTTTACTACAGCTTCCACCTTAGGTTGGTGTGTTAGCATGCTAATTAGCACTAAACACAAAGGACAGCTGAGGCTGATGGGAATGTCAGTAGCTTTGCAGATATTTGGACATAAAGCAAAGTGTTGGGCCAACTGAAAATGAAAATAACAACAACAAAACAAGAAACGCTGCCATCCATAGAGCCCTGCCACTAATGTTTAGCTTCTAAATGGTAAACTTAATCCTGAAATTACTATGGTCATCAGCTAGTCTTTACCTACGTCTGACTGCCAGTCCTGGGTAGGTAGTGTATACTTACACCTCGCCCCTACGCTGATGTTTATGTGTGAAAATGACTTGTGTCCATTGTGTTTCTATGTGGTTTTAGCAGAGAACTCTGCCCACAATGAAACCTCCTGAACAACGTTGTAACAACAGCTAAATCTTGCCTTCTTTGATTTACAGTTGGCAATGAGACAAAACTGCATCATGGGCAACATCCAGTAAGGAGAGGGTCAGACAGCCCAGCTAACATAAATCCAGGTTAATGACAACAGTTCTGCTGTATGATTGGTTATTTGATATGAGTGACTACAGAGAAAGTTAGACAACAGAACGCTGTCCTCTGAACTTCACTGAGCTACAGACACAGCAGGTTACTCTGCTGAGTAACAGCCTGTTACACCTCTGTTGAGTCTCTATCTACTCACCGTGGTCACCTAAGCTGAATTCACAACATAGCTGTTCTCAATAACATATTTTTTATTGCATTTCATAAATGCTTCTCTGTTAACCAGCAGTCATTCCTGAACTTCATCCTTATTTTATAATCGCATCATCATGTGACAAAATCAACATGTTGACAACAGGTTAGTGTCAGCCGCTCTGCTGTGGATCCGTCTATACTGATGAACAGTGAACCAGAGGTGAGTAGTTGTCTTAACTTTACTTTACTGGCCCCCCAGATGTCACTGGCACATGTCAACATTTTGGAAAAGCTCAGTTTACCAAGCTGGCATTTTAAAATGTATACACTCACACTGAAAAGCTTCATTCTTCGAGTTTTAGTTTTTAACCGTCTTATTGTGGACTAAACAAGGTTAATACAAAGCCCCTTTACTGAGGGCAGAAAAACTATGAGAGTGATCTGTATGATGCCAATCCAATGGTGATGATTCTGTTGGTTAATCACCACAAGTGACCACTTTTACACAACACACTGGAACCATTGTTAAAAAGAAAAGTGACTTTAAATTGTACTTTCTATATAGCAACAAAAAATATTTTCATTTTGCCTTGTGTGACTTCATGTTGCAACATCTCAATGTGCAGAAAAAGTGAGGAAGCTGCATATTTTCTAAAGATGGTGTATATGAAGAGCAGCTGACAGATTGAGTGTGAAGTATGCAATTTCCTGCTGAAAGACATCTGTGTTGTGTTGATCAGTCATCAGGAGCACAGAAACAGATAAGCTGCTTTTCTCTGCAGGCTGACTTGCCCTTACATTGAAAAATATGTAGATTTTCAGTTGGTGCAGTCGGTTGGTGCACTCAATGTGAATTATTACAGCTCTAAACCAGAGTTATCCAGTCAGGATTGTGTCCATATACAACTGTGCAGAACCATGACTCTACAGTATATGGCCTGCTGAAATGATCAAACGTCTACACAGAGAGAAGAGCTGTGGACTTTCAAGATCGCCATAGAAAACTGAGACAACTTCAGGCTTTTCAGGTGTTTCTGGTTCTGGAGCTGTGGAGTCTGGATCTGTGGTCCCTGTATTCCTGCTCGACACCCGTTGCTACAACTATCATTATCAGTACCATTTTTCATTTTCTGTCTGTACCACTACCACCTTTATGGTTCAGTTCAAGGTCTCTTCCTGTTAAAAGGGAGGTTTTCCTTGCCTGTGTCGCCAAGTGCTTGCTCATGGTGGGGATTTTTGTGTCTCTGTTAATGATTTTGCAAAGATTTCGGTCTAGATCTGCTCTATCTGAAAAGTGCAATGAGTTCACTTTTGTTATGAATTGGCACTATATAAATAAAACCGGATGCTAACACTGACAAGCCCTGAAGCTTTAACCATTGCGTGCTTTCTCTCTGTATTTTCTCGTGCCCACTCAAAATGCATGCATGCTGAGTAGTGTGGAGTAACGTTTGATCTGCTGCGTGGACATAGGACCCAACTAGGGCTGACCCTTAATAGTCGAAGACACGATGCTTCGATGGGCGGAGCCTGATTCGATTGCCAATCTCACAGTCGAAGCTTCACAGCGAAAACAAGGATCATGCCATTTTGGTGATATGGGGGTGCTCAACGTCTGATTTTACATAGAACTACCAATTTTCTCCCAATAAGTTAATATACTGCCTATTACAATATACATTTCAACATTTAATGCTGTAAATAAACATGTAAAAAGAAAAACTTTCAATAAATGTTTTTAAAGTGTGTGAATAAATCCAAAATTGTAACCCTAACCCTGGGTTTTCGGTGTGCATGTGTAGGTGTGTGGTGGCGGAAGAGGAACACTTGCTGAAGAGACAGAGCTCCAGCTTCACTGGTGTTATGCCGAGTTGTCAACACCTCACGGGACTTTTGGATAATTTATCACCGTTGATGAACCACACAAAGAATATTATATCGTTTTTAAATACTTGAAATAGACCCGCAAGGAACCGCGACCTGCATGCAGTTGTCGGCAGCACGGAATGCACGCAAAACGAAAAGAAATGGGTCAACAAAAAGCCTCAATTTGGACCATTCTTGTTTAAATCTTTCATTGGTGGGTCCCCCAATTATATGGGAGTGCAATACTAAATTGCTGGAGTGGCACTTTAATTTCCTTGTATGTTTTTATTTCAAAAGACAATAATAGTTTATTAAAAATTAAAATTAAACATATAATGACAACATTCTTAAATGGGGCGAAATTATTAATTATTAAAAATTATTTTTTAATTAAAAAAACATCAGGGAAATACAAATATAGTCAATGTTGCCCGCATATATATATATCAATTATTTATAATACTAGCGAGTGCTGTGAAGCCTTAAACTAATGAACAGCCTTTTAAATGCGGTATGCTTTCCATGGCTGTAATCTAGGAATCAATAAAGCACCTTCTTTGAAGTTGGTAATAGTTCCTCTGGACAGGCGGAGGTCCTTAAGTTGACTAACTAGTATTTAAGAGCAGCAGCAGTTTCAATGAAGATCCTTACTCTCACTGACAAAACCAGTGTTCTACAGAGTACAGGCCACCGCAGGTTCAAACTGAGGTTAAATATTCTATAAATATTGTGACAGAGATTGTGAAAGAACAGGGATGAGCACCTACACATGTGCCCCCCCCCCCCCCCCCCACACACACAGCTGTTAGGACACTGGGCTTTGAGAGAAAGAGGAATGATTGGTATGTGGTCTGGAGCTCAGGGAAGTACTAACTGCAGCTGTGATAAGCAGCAGCTTTGAAGACGTCCTATGGCATTTACACTGAAATAAACGATGACGGTGATGCACAGTACCTCCCAGAGACTGAAGTGATTTAAGTAACACCTTTGACATGTTATACGGCCATTACAGTGCATTTTAAATGACAGTCACAGAAAGCAGCATTTAACAATGAAAACATTTTTTCAGGTGCTGTCTTGTAAACTCATGACTAATTAACAATAGAAGAAACATTCTGTTGCTTCGGTTATAACCTTGAGTCACACTACTTGTGTTTTTAAGCCTGGACTTTTAGAACAAGTTTCCCTTTTTTGTGCACAAGCCAAAGAAAGACAAACCTAACCAAGCCTATGAAATCTTGAGAGATAACCTTTTGTGTATTGTGCACACACTAGATAAAACAAATCCGGACACTATTTTTTCAGGATTTTGGAGTTCAGTACATACCTAAAATAAGTTACTGTTCTTGAACCCTTTTGAATACAGTCATGAACTTGGTCTCATCTGGAAGTTAAAGCAACACTATGCTAGAAGACACGTGCATCTGTTACGATTACATTAATTATGATCAAAAACTAACGAGTCAACAAGTTTGCTAACACCACCAAACATCAAGCAAGTGTGACAACACAAGACACAGCAAGGCAGCAAATATTACTGCAGCAAGGCCAGCTGTCACGAAGCTCTCGCTAACAACTAAAAGACAGTCTGAGATGGACTCTAGTCAGAAACAGTCTTAGTGACACAGAAGTTAATTTAAAGAATTTTAAAACAATTGTTAATCTTACTGCTCTGTTATTCATGCACTCATACAAAATAAACAGCTGTTGCAGTAGTGACGTTGGGAAAAATGCTTTGAACAATAACTATTGTAATGATTGTCTATTGAGGAGGGATTCAGGGAGAAGCCATCCCAAACAAGGTTTAAAAACCTCTCCAGGGTTGTATTTTGACCCAATGTTTGAGAAGGATAATAGATGGTTATGTCATATTGAAATATAAACCCCTTTAGCAACATTTTTTAACTGAAACATTGATGCCAACAAAGCAAATTGAAATAAAAACTGAAAAGATAAAAAACATTGGTGAGCAAAATCGCCCTCGCTTGCTGGTTCACATGCCTCTTCAAAATTCATAAATATTTTCATTCTTGCTAGATCTGTCACTCTGTGTATTTATCCTCACAAAATACAAATGAGCCTTGTTGAAAATTTGCAAGAAGGGAGATGAGACTGGGTGAGCACAAAACTTAACTCTATTTCTTCTTTGTGGTTTATTACTAGATTAAAATAAATTGGTAGTGCCCTTGGATTTCATGTATTGCTTTATTCATGTATGTAACTCTGAAATGCTGCTGTCCGCAGTGACAGGGTCTGTGATGAGTCACAGATAACAAATATGCTTGAATTGAAGGAGACTTGCTACAGATGCCGTTTCATCACTCAGGAACAGCGTGGCACTGTCAATCTCACAGCAGGTGGAATTTCAGAACAGTATTCTAACTATTTGATCGTCGCCCATCCGTGACTGACCGAAACCAGTTGCATCTGTTAGGGGTCAGGGGAAACCAGGGTTGGCCCCACTGTGGAGCAAGTTTTAATTGACCATTCACTAAACCCATCCCCCACCATAACAAGGCCCGGCAGGTCTTTCGTATTTTAGATTTTTCCACATGTTGAAGTGGTGTACGTGGAGCTGCAGTAAAGGGGATATACACAGAGTTTGGAGGGTGGAGTCTTTTATTTTGATCTTTCTAAAACCAAAAACACAAGGACACAAGGAATGGATTAAACAGTGTTCTTTGCCCTATAAACTGCACATGTTAGCATGCCTGGCTAACTAGCTAAATACCAGCAGTAGTAACCTAACTCAGAGTTACTTCCAAGACCAAGGCAGTTATCATTAGCTAACTACATTATTTTCTGGGGTTTTCAGTTAGAAGGAGCCTCATTAAGGGCTGGAACATCCACCATGTTGTATTCCCCCATTTCTAGATTCTTGAAGCCGCTTAGATTATTGCAACTGTTTTTTTACTGCTCTCCCTAAAAAGATCATTCAGAATGCCACAGCCAGGATTTAGACCAATACAAAATTTCCTCACTGCACTGTCTGTCTATCTGTATGTTTCTGAGTTTATTTTAAAGTCTTTTTACTTATCTACAAAGTCTTAAATAATCTAGCAGCCTCGCGTATCAGCGACTGCCTCTTAATGTATGTCCCAACAAGATTCTTCCACTGCCTGTGTTTTAGAAGTACCTGAAGTGGTGAGGTTGCGTTGTTTTTTATGGCCCCAAACTGTGGGAAACTGATTACTGTGAAGGGATTCCTGAAACTGTGCTGATTAGCCAGCTACAGCTGATAAAGTGTGCTAGCAATGTTTGTAATTTCATCCAGATGAAAAGGAGAAGCTTATCAGCATAAACTGCTGTGTGAGCATAAGGGGGGGGGGGGGGGGGGGGCGGTAAAATGACTCCTGTGTTAAATGTATTGTGTAAAAGCCTTGTTTTTATCATTCTTGGTGGGGTTCTGGAGCCAAAACCAGGTCTGACATTAAAAGTCATTATAATGAGGAAAGGCGCCATTTTCAACTTTTCATTTTACAGTACATTACATTTATTCATTTAGCTGACGCTTTTATCCAAAGCGACTTACAATTGCTATATATGTCAGAGTGTCGCTATGATTAGTTGTTTACGATGTGCAAACTCGGAGGTTGTCATGGAAGATAATCCGGTGTTGGCGAGGGATGATCCGGTCCTGGTCTACCCCCTAGTGGATTCAGGTTTAATCCTCCAGGTACACGCAAAGTACGCAGTCAAGTATGTGAACTTAATCGCCGACGCCTGTCTACACCTACGCATTGTTAAAAAAGCAAATATATCCAGGTCTTTAGTCTGTCCACATACATCTGTCTGCTATAGCTGCTTTACTTGATCAGGATTACATGGCCCTTGAGTCTATCCCAGCACACACTGTGTATGAGGACAGGTTGGCACTGTATGACACATATGGGCAATTTAGAGCCACCTATTCACCTAACCTGCATGCCTTTGAACCGGAAGGAAACCCACACAAGCACGGCCAGAATAACTCCACGCAGAAAAAGCCCCAGATAGTGATTAATATATGAAGTTCTCCTAAAATTACTAAACTTTGAGGGTCAAATTTTTCTAAATAAACTTTATCAGCTAATAAATCATAAGAGAAAATGTGCAGAATCCTAAGTGACGTTTCCAACTAAAAAAGGAGTGGCTGGTGTGTGTGGAGGCCAGAGGAAGAGCAGATGCTGATGCTTTCTCTGCCAACGTGGCCAAACTCAGGAGGAGCGAGGCAGAGAGAAAGGGAAGAGAATATTTCAGCGAGCGGATCATCATGTCTTCACACATAATGCATCCCCAGTGTTACTGCTGGCAGGACGACAACCATATGAGTGGAACATTCCAGAAGGCTGCCCCTGCCAGTGCACACCTTCAACATGAGCGTACAGGATGTGATGCCTGGGCTAATGACAGAGGGAAGGCAGCCCAGGAAGGTAACTGGAGTTATGTGGACTGCTGAAGATGAGGGTCTGAGCCAACGAAATGTTGGAAGCTGACCTTAATCTTGCAAACACAAGTAACAGCTGTTTGAAATCTTCACATTATATTTGGAGGTTGAGGAGATGACAGCTGGACAGACCTCTGACCTCCTCCCTAGGATATACTCCTAAAATAATACAATGGATGTATGATATTGCAAAATGTCTAAAAAGCACTGCTTCATTAAAGGATCCTCTCTCACAGATACCTTTAAAAACAGCAATGGTTCTTACCATGAACAGTGTTTTGATCATTAAAAAAACAAAGAAAAAGAAAGAAAGATGCAACTATAGGTAAGTGAGAAAATATGTTGCTAAACGCTGATTCCAGTTTCCAGGTATCTGCAAGCATTGAAGGACATGAGCACAAACTACTTCACTTCAAATGTAGAGAATCCAAAATAGTTTTTGCTTCAGGGAATAGCTATGAATCTGTTTATTTCCCTTTCTTTTTAAGAGTCTCTGGTCATGTCTGTGTGTTAAGTACACAGCTGGAGTCAGGATGAGTTTAACCCAGCAAAAGAGTTCATTGACAGAAAATAAGTCAACAAATATTTTGATGATGGACTAATAGTTTAAGTGACAATAAGGCATAAATGACCTCCTGTGGTTCCAGCTGCTCAAGTGTGAATGTGAGCTGCAGTTTTTCTCTTTAACATCAGTACAAACTGAGTATCCTTGGCCTGCGGACTGCTGGTTGAGACAGAACATGTGATTTGAAGATGGTTGGGCTCCGGGAATATGTGATGGGTGCTCTTCACTATTTGTTGACGTTAAAAAGACCAAATGACTTATCAAAGGGCTGATAAAGTGCAGTGGGGCATGAGAGGCGCCGGCCAGTACTCACCAAGGGTCCTAAAGGGCCTCTGCTGGGGCACCAAGGAGAAGAAACCGGGCTTCAAGGCGTTTGTGATGATGACGTCAAACAGCTCTTCGAAATCCTTCCTGTAAACAGCCAGAGAAACATTAACCTCAGTGAGAGGAGCCCGGCCGCTGTGTGAAGGACAATGTCTGGACAGCACCCAAATACACTGAGCTACGCAAGCACAAATAATTCAGTGAAACAGGAAGGACTTATTACTGGGAACTTGGGGGTATGCACCCTGGAACAGAACAAAGATGCATAGCAATGCAATAAAACTAAGGTTCCCGTCATTATGGGGTACGGTTATCCTTATTTTAGCCTACCTCTTTTAAAAAAGCATTTACCGTAATTAATCAATGTTTGGCGCCGAATGGGACAGAGAGGCTGAGCGGACTGCTCATATTATGCTGAACGAGCACAGAAGTTGAATCTGGAGCAGACTGTGGAGGACTTCGCTGTGCACACAGCTCACAGCATGACATTCAGAGAGGTGAAGACAACAACACACTCCCTGATAAGTGTAACTCTCTCTGCAGATGAGGACGTCAGCAACCCCTGCATTGTCCAGCCGCGTTGTATGTCTGCACAATATGGGATGGGCAATAAAACAATAATGATAAAGAATATAACAAATGTGCGATAAATCTTGCCCAGCCCTATGCGCAGTACATGGTGTGGAAAAACTTTGCTTAAATCAGCGTTTGTGGCTGTGGAGTTTATACTGGTCAGCCTTGGTGATGTTTAATTCAGCTACTGATTCTATAGGTGTGTGGCTTGTTGGTCTCCATAGACTTTTAATTTATTGTCGGCCATTTTTGTTTAATTACCTGAATTTGGTCCTTTGTTCTGGTTAATTCTAGTAAGACTGAGGAAGGTGGTTGTATGCTTATTACTGATGAGTTCTTCAATAAATGGGTGATCTGAACTTGCAATCTTCACGGCGGAGATCCTTGGCCCTGTCTGGACTTCTCTCACTTCACTCACACATCAGTGGACTTAACAACAAGTAATAAATCAATAAACTATGCAGCGCGCCAGCAGTTAATGCCTTCATCTAGTCATGCCAAATAGTACCAGCAGCTTCTCTGGCAGCTTGTTGGGTTTTGGCCAGTAGCCTCCTGTCAGACAGCTCTGGCCTTGTTGTGCTACTTCTCACAGCTGACTGCCACTGGCCTCCAGCCGGCTCACCACCAGTGTGGTGGCTTCGGTTTTCTCTGGCAAAAGAGGTACTGTGTAGTGAGGCAGGGTGTGATTTCTAAACAGGGAAGTGCTGACAGGATGAGACACAGAGACCGGTGCTGCCCCAAAGTTTCCGTGAAGAAGAGCTGGGTATGCAAACTTGGTGTATGAAAAACAGGAAGGATCTTAAAGAAGGCCAACTCAGTCTGTGAACAAAGCATGCTCCTCCACAAATAACCCCTGGCAAGATGAAGCTGGCCTAACTTCCTCTTGTAGCTATCACAACATAACTCTGCTTCCCCTGACCTTTTGAAGCAGTGACTTGAACATCAGTTTGAGCGCACACACTCCCACACAGCTGGGGCTCTGACTGCTCTCCTTGGGAGGTGACACATGATGCGGTGCTGGAGGTCAAAGACACGGGAGGTCAGGGGGAGCCAGTGAAACAGCAGGGGAGCAGGGGAAAGAGGTGAGGAACAACAGGAATGACCAGGCTGCTTGCTGCTTAACAGGAAATGGTGAGAGGGGGTGGGGGCTTGAGCCACAGAGGCCCCGTGAGACAAACTGGCGTTCAGAGCAAAAGAGCTTTACCTCGATCTGCTTTCTGCCTCTGCTGGACTATAGAGAACAATTAGATCTGAGCGTGAGAAGTGAAAAAAGCAGACCACCTAACCTGGCGAGTGCAGCGTGAGATGACAACACCTTCCAAAGACCAAGAAGGGCTTATGTTGGTTAAAGCGCAGCAGCAACACGGACATTGTGTTTTTTCAAAGCTCTCTTGCTGCTTGATCAAGTGTGTAACAGGGCTTAGGCTACAAAAAGAACCCTGAACCACAGTGTGCACTGCAAACAGAGGGAGGCCAGTAATGCACAAAGCCAGAGCTAAACTCCAAATAGCTTGCTAAGACAATAATCCCTTTTGCTGCACACCTATAAAATGAAGTGTCGGATGTTAACTGTGCACTGGTATGAACAATCTAACTGTGTGCATACAGACTCCAGTCATCATATACCTTGCCAAATAAGAAAGTCTGACTCAGTAAAACTAAAACTGATTGTTTGCATGTACCCTGCAACCTTTATATTTAGTTTTTAAAGCTGAATTAATTGATCTTTTTATGTTTCGGCAACTTGGTGGCAGCTGCACAAACTAAAACCACCACATCTATTTTATCACCTTATAAAGTTGTTAAGGCTACCTTGTTGTTAGCAAACAGAGGCCTATTTAAACATCCAGCAGACATAAAGCAACATCAGTGGAGTTGATACTCTGGGAAGCAGAACAAGCTGGAAAGACAACCTTAGACTTATTATCACATTTCAAATTTATAACGGCTAATGTGTTAGCAAACAATTGCCCGTTTACACATCTAGCAGCCACAACACAACGTTAGCATTCATTTGGAGTCGTGTTTCTGGCTTCACTTGACAAACGAAAGTTATATTCACTTTTGGTCTCCACCACTCGCTAAATGTTCCTGTCTGTCTACCGCTTGTCCACAACACAGCTAGCGTACAGTGGATTTCTCAGTAGCTAATTGCTGACCGCTACACCTGGAGACAGAGTTGATGAGAGAAAAACCAAAACCATGAGCTAAAAAGGCTAAAAAGATCTTTAGAGCTGAGCGAAGCTGCAGAGTTAGTGATAATTCTGTTTGGGCACGACGCCACATTACACACAGTCATCTGACCCATCAAAAAATCTTGACAAAATAATCTTTAACTCCATATGCCAGCGGTCGACAAATAAGTCTGGCATCGGGTCAAATTTCTCTCAAGCCGTTACACGTCAAATTATTTCTAATCTTTCTATGCTTATGTGGACGTTTAGCTCAGTTGGTACTGTGCGGGACTCCCGTTTGGAAGGTTATAAGAACAATTCCAAGTAACTGTAATTTTTTTTTCTCCCTTGTTAAACAAATTGATTATAAGTACACTTTGCACATGCTCATAATAAAGCATGTGCTGCATGTGCATGTGTGCGCGTCCCGGCATTTGATCCGTATTCATAAACGTATGGACACTTATTTTCATTTCCCTGAGGACATTCAGGGGAATCCAAACACACGTTTACTGACGGCTTTTTCAGAGGTGTGTCAAGCAGGGCAGAGAGTCTTTCGAATGTCATGAATGGCAGTACTTTTCAAAGTAAAAGCTCTCAATAAACTTGTCATAAAGCATCGCTGCACAAAGAATTATTGCGCTTTTATTTTGGAGGCACAATCACTTAAGAGGAAGTGATTGTGTGAGTAACTGTAGCTGTCATGACTGAAATCTATTTCAGCATCAGCTGCTATCAATTTTTTTATTTTTCTGGTCCGCGGGCCACCTATTACTATCTTTTACTATCTTTTGAAGCTTTAAACCATACTAGACTAAAAGCTTTAAAATACTAAATAGGATGGAACATACATGTTACACAAAAATTTGAATGTGTGAATGTAGATTATAAATGTATATATTAGCATGACAATAGCAAAAAGTGTGTCCTCATTTTTTAAAGTTTGATGCAGACATGCAAAATGTGTATAATTTTATCTACTAAGTAACAGATAAAGAACAAGAACAAAATGTTGCTGAAGGCAGCTGGGATGTTTGTGAGTGTAGCATGGTGTGTGATGATGGAGGTAGCTCAGGGCAGACCTGTAAGCCAGCGTTGACTAAAGGAATGACTGATGGCATGTGAGAGCTGAACAGAATGCTGTGAGTTGAGGGAAAATCAAAAACCGCCAGCTTGGACTGAACAGACTCCCGTGGGGGCTGTTATGGTACTGTAAGAACTGCAGACCATGACGTCCTGGTCTTGTTACGGAGAGGACCAACTTGTGGTCCCCCTGTGGGTAGTCTTACCCCAGGATGTGTTCACAGATTAGCCTGCAGTAGTCACTGTGGGAGCTGGTGATGAGGAGCAGGACCTTCCCACTGTTCTTCATGCTGCGCAGCCAGGTCTTGACGGAGTCAGAGCAGGGTTGCAGGTACCGGCCCGGGTCCCTCTTCACACTGGGGAAGTATGTCCCTGCGTCCTCTGTACAGAGACACAAACATGGTCTGTAACATGTATAAAAGTGAATCATATGCTGTCGTCTTCACAGTCACCAGACCTGGAACTAGGTTCCAGGTACATTCATTTTATCATTCTACAACAAAGGGCTGCAAAATGAAATAACAGTTGTAGCCTCCTTCACAGCAAAGAATCACTGTGTCACCAAGCTTTCAGCCCCACCTGTTACCTGTTAGTGGGCAAGCTCGCTAACAGCTAGCTAAGAGAGCTATTGTGACTGGTGCTACCATATTCCTGCCTGGCTAAAGCGCCGTGGTTTAGCTTGACACCTACGGTAATTAACCAAATAGTCCTACAGTTACGGTGCACATTATATTTTTTGTTTTTGTTCACATTATAAGTTTATCATACTAATTTATGATACGTGCTGTATGACACACTATGAATTTCCGAAATACTACTAATAATAAATATCTACCCATATAAACTGTACAGTTTACTGTGTATATTTAAGTAGGTGTTATTCCACAATATTAACTGGACTTGGAATTAATTTTATTGTTAGTTTTACAATTATTTTAGTATCAATTTTAGCACATTATTTTATTTATACATTTATGTATGTAACATTAAATTATTATTTTATGTCCCCTTTGGCTAACAGTTGGTTCATTTTGGTTCCTACCTGCTGTTGTTTAGGAGGACATTTGTGAGTGTAACAGAGGTAGAGTAATGTGCAACAACAGAGCGGTGGGGTTCAGAGTTTTGCCATAAACCCGGACAGAGTGAAGTTGGATGTCTTGCGGTTTTGATGTTAAATTAAAGAAGATTATTCGTGAAGAAATTGTAGCCGCTTTTTACCCACAGGCCAGAAGGACAGAACGCTACCAACCCAGTAAACAGGGTTCCACGCAGAGAAAAGCTGGTGTAACCAGCCCTTTACAATGTTAAAACACCACAAATTCTGATCTTGCCATCTTTATGCACAAAAATGCACAGTTTGGATCATTAGATGAGACTTTAGATGGGTGAAACAAACCAATAGCAATGGGTCCGCTTCTCACGACCCCATAAAACTAACCCCTTTTCTTTTTATGAGACAGACATCAAAGGACACATGCTTCCAATCCTCTCATTACAAACTAAATGTTCACAGAGACAGTTTATATGTTGAACTGCCCTGAGTGGATGGATTCTGCTTACAAATCACAAAATATACTGAGGTCTGCATGGTCAACATTCTTACACACTCAGCACATTTTAAACTGTGGTTTAAACATTTTGTTGTGTCTGTACATGCTAGGAAGAAGTATTAGTATACACTGAGGTAAAGGAGAGCTCAGGGTCAGCCATCGTCAGTGAGCTTTCCTCACTGTGAAGCCCCCGCTGCCCCTCTATAGAGCTAAATATGGCAGATCTCTGATCTTTGTTACACAATCCCAGTCCATCACAGAATATCTCTCTTGACCTAATGTTCTTAGCAGAGCCTTGTGAATGTAAAAACCAATGAATAAAACACAACCTATAAGGAATAGAGGCACTTGATGCTGATTGGCAGCACATAATGCTACGTCCATGTGTGAATACTAGGTTACAAAACAGTGCAGTTTTTCTTGGTAATGACAGGATGTGATAAAATGGTATCTTGATGTTTTGTAATTACAGGAAATATAACACTGAGACGTGCAACCTTATCAAAAGAGAAAAATGAGGCCAACTATACAAGGTTATTTGCTCTTGAGCCGAAGAAGGTAACCAATAAGTGAGAAGTGGTGTTGGCTTCTTTCACAAGGAGGAGAAAAACAGGGCAGGGTGTAGATGAGTGGTGTGTATTCATGAGCTTAGGTGTTTACCCTGGCAGAGAGCGCCGGCCTCGCACAGCGGCACAGACACAGTCAGAGAAGTGTCCTAATTCTTTTTGATTTTGCCTGACACATGAAACAGTTCTGCTGTTGTCTGATCAGTGTGGACAGCAAAAAAAGCTCAGGCAAACCAAGGCTAGAAACCTGAAGTTTTGCTAAGGGTCCATCAAAACATTAGATTCGTTTTAAACCGAAGGAACAGCACAGTGTGGCTACTGTATTGTTAAAGGGTTTCTAGTAGTCAAGCTAAAAACATTTTTTTCTGAAGGTGGTGATAGAGGTAAGGTCAGTGGGTCACTAAGATTAAATGGGTTTATCTTCTTAGAAGCATCACAACTGTTTTTTCTATTATAGAATATCTTGTGCATACTGTTGACATTTTGGCCTAAGAGAGGAAAGCTGATGATGATCCTAGAGCAAACAAAAAGGCCTGCAATCTTAACACTGCAACCTGAACAGAGGCTGATTAGGTCTTTTTTTTCTACTTTCTGCTGAGCTGTGCTGAGCACAAGGCCCCTCAAATCCTTCTACATCAGAAATTACAGGCACGAACCCATGTCTTCTTTGAAATAGCAAAAAAAACAACTGCTCAGTACTTGTGTGTGAGCCTAAAATGTGGATGATGAATTAGAGCTCATGAAAATTCAGCACTGAGAGTTAGAAACGTTTGGACATGCTGCCCTCCTGTGGTGGAACACAGGAGTAGCTTGAGGAATGGGAAAAGCCTCTTAGGTCCTAAGAAGGCAGTAGATGACAAAAAACACAAACAAGCAGAAGCTAAGATCTGAATCAGGAGCCCAAAGTTCACATCTTTGAAAATGCCCCAGATGTAAACATCTATTTCTGATATCAAACAAATATCTTCAGAAGTTTAAATTGTATCCACAGACCATCACACCTTCACTTAAACAGAGAACATTCGGCCCTCAATTTGTGGGGCAGTTCCTCCTCTGTGACCCTGCAGTCGAGCACCCGTCCTGCCTCATTTAAGAGAGCTCCACTGCCAGCAAAATCCCATGTCGCAAATATGTGTGTGAAAAGAACAGAACAACTGACCTTGCCACTGTCCTTTGTGTTACATTTGTTCAAATACCATGTTGTTTTATTCCACTGGGAACAGAAATTTACCAGGGAGAGAGTCTACTCATGTCGTAGACTCGCATCAAAACGAACGTTAAATTTACTAAAACACCTGACCAAGGAACGCAACAAAGATAAAAGTTTAAAGGAATCATACCCTGCAAATTTTAAGGCTTTGGTGTTAAATGCAGGAGCTGTAATTAGTTTTTAATCCATTGTTCCTCATCAGTTTTGCCTGTTGGATAAGTGGCAAAACATCTTCAGCTCTAAAATCCAATCTCCCTTCACTTAGTACTTGTAGCTTTGTGTCCTGGTGGTAATTAATAAATAGTCTGTAAATCAGATCGGTGACAGTGATGATTGCCCTTTGCTCGACTACAGCGTCACCAAGGGCTTCTACTGTAGGGAGATAACCTTTACGTTTACATTGATTGTAACACACAGGTGAAGGCGTAGCCAGTCACGCTACAAGCTCATGATTCACCCTCATTTTCAAATGTCACACTGAGAGGGATCAGCGTTTGAACAGGAGAGTTAATCTGTGAGTTATAGTTTATAGTTTTAATACTGAACGTAGTGTTTTCCATTCATCATTCTTCAATTTGGAGTGGCTCTTTCGTTGTTAGAACTGGGGCTCTGAATTGGGGTTAAAGAGCTCTGTTTCTAAGCTAGGTAACGTAGCTTTCACGGGCCTGCAGATAACTGTGCTACATTCAGCTTCACAAGCTACTGAGACTAGACAAACAGTAACATTAACCATGACAAACAGCAGGGCTACGACTATATACTGGTACTCCCTCGCACACTTTGGGAGAGCCTCCCACAGCAGAGCTGCTAACTATACTGCTAGGTACACAGCGATTCTTTCACGTGCTGACCAAGTCCACGTAGTACATGTCAACTGTACTGTATACTCATTTGAGACCACATGGGGGCATTTCAGACCTTTGGTGAGAATATAGCTAGAACTGCAGGAATAGATGGCACTTTTTCACAAAGAATGGGAAATTGCATAGAGAGTCCCTCCCCTTCCAGTGGACCACCATGGGAACTTCCTTCGGAAAAATATTGTACAGTAAGTAGTCAATGGCGAGGGACAACAAATATTTTGATCCCGTTTGAATTGTGCACTGAATTACACATATGTTTGTCCATTTAAAAGATACATTTTAAAGTCAAGAAAGTTGCAGTTTGATGTAAAACTGTTTTATTACAAAGACCACAAACCCACAAGTCGCGTATGTGACATCGTAACTGCCTCTGTCAATGACTGAAGCTAACGTTTCCGAAGCTAATGTCAAAAAACTTACATGAGAGGATGATGTGATAAAAGGACTGAGAGTTGTTGGATTAAACACATCAGGTGAGATATATTTCTGCGTGGAACACAGCTAAGTAATCCAGCTAGTAGCAAGAAAGCAACGAACGTTAGCTAGCATTAGCATAACTAGCTTACATAGCTAGCATAACTCTACTATTTTACAACAAAATGCGACTTTCTTGACTTGCAAAATTATATTTTCAATCGACCAACAACATATGTGTAATTCAGGGCTCAATTCTAACGGGATAAAAAGATAAGTTGTCTCTTGCCATTGACTACCGTACATAGTTTTTCCGAAATAAGGTCCCATGAACCGGAAGCGGAAGTGAGGGACGTAGGCTCTCTATTCAGTAACAGAATCTAGTGGAACAACGGCTAGACAGGAAGTGACTTCAGGACCTCGGATCTCTGTGTGCCTGAGTTCAGAATTTCCGGATCCGGTGATTGCTTACATGGCAGCAGGTGCTAAACCCTGATCTGTCATCATCAAACATCTAGGACAAATTTTTCTACCAAGAAGTTCTTGCTCGTGACCCCAAAACTGAATGTTAACAATGTCTGATTTCTGTTGAAACAGTCCGTTATCTTTGGAAACTGCTTGTTTGTTCGGTTCAGCGCTGATGTGGCCCAAAACACAACTTCCTATTTGCATAAATACTGTCCTGTTACCTGTGTGTCGCCCTCTGTGTGGCACCAGCCTGAGAGTAGAGAGCCACATGTGACCAATCTTACTCCCGCAGAGAAGAGCATGTTTCAAA